TTAATCATTTATATTTTATGTAATTACTTGTTGTATCAAAATTAGCCCAATATTGGACCAGCCTACCAAGTGACATTATACAAAACACATGACATATATATCAGGTTTAGCAAGATTGCTTGTATCGTACTCATAAATGGACAGTACCAAGATCACCGAGTGAAAGACACGTCAAATGTTTTTTAAATGGAACAAACGTATTGCGTTAAAAAATGCAGTTTTACTTTTTTATAAAATTACGTGTTGAAGTGTGTTACTAAATGGCCCTACTAAATGCAGTTCTCTAAGTTACCATTTTTAGACAAATGCGTGATCGAGATTATAGAACTTTGAAATAGAGGGAAATTGAGATTAGGCTTCTTTTTTCAATTAATTTGTCAACCATAAGTTACATTTAGCGAAATTACCTTTACCGTAAAGTAAATAGATAATGACGAAATTAACTAGTCAAAACACTCCCTAATTCCATGGCCATTTTTGTGCAATTTCTTTGGACAACATTTATTTACGTCTCCCATAAGTGTTTTACACTTTTTTTCCACAAATATATTATTCTCTTCACAGAAGAAGGAAACAAAATAACCTGAAATTCAAGAGATATGTCGAAGAATCCAGAGAAAAATGAGTTGCCACTAGAAACCAGTCCGTACACAAAGTATGAGGATATAGAAGATTACAAGAAGAATGCTTATGGAACTACCGGTCACCAAGATGTTAAGCCTGGCCAAGGCGGTGGCACAACCGACGCACCTACCCTCTCCGGCAGTGCTCCTGCCTCCGTCGTAGATTCCGCTAATCAGCAAGCAAAGAAATGAAATGAATCACTCATTAATCACAAAGCAAAATGTTTTCTATTGCTTTCTGTTTTAGTTACTTTCCACTGTGATTTATTTGATGCTTTGTGATAAATGACTTGTTTTAATTTCTCTCCTTTTATCCACTGTTACGATCCAATCTAATCAATAAACAGATGTTAAGTCTTGGGTGTGGTTTTGGATCTTACAACATTAATTAAGACCCACATTATATATACTTTAAGAGGACAAAATTCGCCACAAATACAGTTGGTAAAGAGTAAATATGTTCCCACTGTTGAACAATTTTCTAGAGTTTGAATGGTAAAATATTTTTTAGCACAATTTGTGATGACCGACTGATTTCTAGCAGATTAGAAAAACGTTAATAAACAGAAAAGTCAATTCCACAACAACTAGCAATTTAAAAACATGCCATTAGTTTGTAACTTTGTGTGGTGTATTTGCAGAAGTACCAAGAATCCACATTTGATAACGTTATTGAAGTTAAAACACTTATAGCAACAAGCATCTTCCTAAACCTGAAGCGTTCGTTTAGAATAAAAAACTTCTTAGGAATCTAGGAAAATTAAATGTTATAAGCAACATTTTAATTAAGCTCTTGAAAGTGACAATGAACAAATTAATATCAATCCCAATCTGATTTGCAATAGAAAGGACAGATAAATATCTCAACAATCAAATAGACCATTCAAGTACATATATCATCTGTGGAACTACCATTGGCTGTTTAGTCTTATGGATCAAAGTTTCTATTTTTAATCATTAGCGGTTTGTCCTTTTAATTGCAATAAAAGTCTGTAAAATAATAATTGCAAAACTAATATGCTTATTCAGTCAATGTCATGTCCAATCACTAACAACATTAGCTAACTTAATACCATCATTTCTGTAGAAATCAAATCATAAAAACACATTGTCGTGCTCGTGTTCATAATTTGGGTGGTTTTCTACCGGTTTTGGTTAAGTTCCATCCCAAACCGGAAACAAATGTCCCGATAGTTAAACATAGCCGCAACATTATATACAGCCAATAAAATATCGACACGCGGATGGCGGGAATCCGACGCCGCTAAGTCTTTTTTTTTAATTAAATAACTAACCCTTCGGCATTTGGAAAAGACAAAAAGGAGATTGCGTGGTGGAGATCTTAACCGTCGATTTTCTATCTTGGCGATCTAACGGCTGGGACTGGGTAGCGGTACCACCCGGTCAAAGTAATGCGTAGCCATTGATTGTTGACACGTGTCGGTAGGAGATCTCCGGTTTGACAGATAGACGATCGAAGCAATTACCTGGAATCGCCGGTGGCCAACCAAATACCAAACGAGACAAAGGTTCTTCTCTCTCTCTATCTATCATTCTCATTTCTCTCTCACGAAATTAGAAAGGTTTTTCTGAAATTGTCTTTCGTCAATTCTCTTCTTTTGTTAACGCCATAACTTTTTCTGGGTTTTCGCTAATTTTCTTCAAGAGGATCTAACGGCATCGAGAGAAAAAAAGGAGGGGAAGTAAGAAGGATCATCATTGTCATCTGTGAGAAATCTCAGAGCTTTTTTGTTTTTTGTTGCAATTTCTTTATTTTTCCTGAAATTCTCTATCTGCTTCGAGATTTCCTTTTCTCATCAACTGTTGGGGTTAGTCTAAGAGCTGAATTCGTCTGGATTTCTGAAATTTTTGAGCTTTGGGTTTGTTGAAACAGAGGATAATTCAAAATTTGGGTTTTGGTTGTTATCTCTGGATAACCGATTGCGATCTCGAATATCTGGTTCTTGACTCGCTTGATTAGGGTGCTTAATCAAAGTTGTAGAAGCTTGGATAGTTGGTGTGGTGATTACTGGATTTGATCGAAATCAAGGATCTACTGATTTGGGTATTAATCAAAATCATTTCTTTGGCACTGAAATTGATAGAAAGTCTCTGTAGTTTCCAAGTTTCCAAGTGGGTCCGTCTCAAGCTCTTTGGGTGAAGTTTGTTTTCTCATAAAGTCTGATACTTTGTAAGGTTGGTCTTTGTTGATCGAAGATCTAGTGGGAACAAAAGCAAGTCTCTGGATAGCATCAAAAAACAAGAGAGAGAGAGTATTTCTGGATTGCTGGCTAGATTTATATGATTGCTGGTATGGATTTTTCACCATTGGTAACGGTTCGAGAGGGGGATTTCAACACGGACAGTGTTTCTACATCAGAGATGGATACTTTAGAGGATGAGACTAAGCAAACAAGTAGAGGAAAACCTCCGAGGCATCTCTCTGCAATGCAACAGTTCACAAGCACTAGTAGTAGGCTGCAGGTAATTTGTTTGACTCACTATTTTGTGGATTTTGTTTTTTTTTTTTTTTTTTGTGTGTAATGGGATCTGAAATGATGTGATTCGTTTCTGTCTTTGTGCAGGATTTGGATGTTTGTAATTTGGTCATGAAGTCACCGAATGAAAATCCGGAGTTTGTGCCTGTTTACCGATCAGGGAGTTGTGCTGAACGAGGACCAAAACAGTTCATGGAAGATGAACACATTTGCATTGATGATCTTGTTGAGCATCTTGGTGCTGCTCTTGAATTCTCATCTCCTGGAGCCTTCTATGGGGTAAGCATATCTTCAAATCTTCTTCAAAGAAGCACATAAACCTGATTCTTCGTTTTAAATTGTTGATATGTGCTTTGGCAGGTCTTTGATGGTCATGGTGGCACAGATGCAGCAGTGTTTGTTAGGAAGAACATACTGAGATTCATTGTAGAGGACTCCTACTTCCCACTATGTGTAAAGAAGGCAATCAAGAATGCTTTCTTGAAAGCTGATTACGAGTTCGCAGACGACTCTTCTCTTGACATCTCTTCTGGGACCACTGCGCTTACAGCTTTTATTTTTGGAAGGTAAGGCGCATTTAACATTCATGTTTATGAATTTAGGTAGGAAGTTATGTATGTCATCAACTGTAATATCATCAATGACAAGTTTCTTTCTTTGACAGGAGGTTGATAATTGCAAATGCTGGTGATTGCCGAGCAGTGTTGGGGAGAAGAGGCAGAGCAATAGAGTTGTCCAGAGACCACAAACCGAACTGCACGACCGAGAGAGTGAGGATAGAGAAGTTAGGTGGAGTTGTGTACGATGGCTACCTCAACGGGCAACTATCAGTGGCACGTGCTATTGGGGACTGGCACATGAAAGGTCCCAAAGGCTCTGCTTGTCCACTAAGCCCTGAGCCAGAGTTGCAAGAGACTGACCTGAGCGAAGACGATGAGTTCTTGATAATGGGATGTGACGGTCTGTGGGATGTGATGAGCAGTCAGTGCGCTGTGACAATCGCTAGGAAGGAGCTGATGATTCATAATGATCCAGAGAGATGCTCTAGAGAGCTTGTGAGGGAGGCTCTTAAACGGAATACATGTGACAATTTGACTGTGATTGTTGTTTGCTTCTCTCCTGATCCTCCACAGAGGATAGAGATCCGAGTGCAGTCTCGTGTGAGGCGGAGCATATCTGCGGAAGGGTTAAACCTTCTCAAAGGCGTGCTTGATGGTTACCCCTGAAGTAAAGGTTACATTACTTTGTGAGATCATTGAGCCAAGTTAGAGAGTGTTACAGGGTTGAACAAGTTGTGTTCTTGAGTATGTTTGTTTGTTACTTACCGATATTAGTATTCAAACATCCATTGAGATTTTAGATGGATGCATATTGTTTTTGTAAATATTTGTTGTTCATTTTTTTTTTCCACTGGATTCCTTGTTATAAATATATCAGAGTTTATTCTTCGATTATTCCTTGTTAGGTTTCAAAGACGTTAACTACAAGTCTACACTAAACTCACAAGACTTCTTAATATCAACTTTTATTCCTTGTTATTCCTTGCTCATCAAACTTGTTTTGGTTGAAGAATTTCACCTCACAATTCTGAGGTATTTTCAACACATACATGATTTTTTTTTTTATCTTTTTCAGCTTCTCATTAGAGATCGGTCGAACAAGTGCGGCTGCTGAACTGATCAGGGCGTGTTGTGGTCTCTGTCTCCATCATCTATGCTTGTCTTGACCGATTAGAACGTGTCAGAGACATCTTTCTTTAATTATCTTCCAAATCTTCTTCATAGTCCCCTTTTGCATACTCAGGTCCCAAAAACTTGTTTTCCATGCATACAGAAGTCAAAGCCGGACGGTCAATGCGTTAGTCATTTTCATTGATATGCTATTTTCTTCGTTTGTGAATACCAATGTTCTTCACGTTCTCACCATCCTCCAGTTTTGGTCTATGCCCTCGATGACTCAACGAAGAAGAAGAAGGCGACATAGTCATGGATAAGTTGGCACAGGTATCGCTATTTAATCCAGTTTGAAACTGGCCGTATTGATCAAGAAGTATGTCAGGAGCAACTGGTGGAGGTGGCGTTACGATAGTCCGATCATGGGAAGTAGTAGTAGTGGTTGATGTATGGCGATGATGAGTAGAGTTGATAAGAATGTGCTCGGGGAAGTTAAGCTTCGCCTTGTGACCTCTAAACTCAAATGCAGCTTTATCATATGCTAATGCAGCTTCTTCAGCAGTGTCGAATGTTCCAAGCCACACACGAGCTGCTTTGTTCGGGTCACGGATCTCCGCCGCCCATTTTCCCCATGGTCTTTGCCTCACGCCTCTGTAGTTTCGTTGTCTCGAGTTACTTTGTTCTGTAGAAATGTTAAAAAATGTAAGTTCACTCTATATAGTTAAAGGTGGTAGACATGCATGCGTGCCTATGAATATATTGTTCGTTGTATGATGATGTATCGAATGTTCTTCTTTGCTTTCATAATAACATAAAACCGGTGTAAAGGCATCTGTTAAAGATTATTAATGTGTGTTATATGGTCATATGATATCAAAATTTATACATGATCTTATGAAACTATTAGGCCAAAGATCCGGAAACATATCCATAAAAACTCTTCTCTTAATGGTAAGCAACTATATGATATTACTAAAGGTATAAAGACAAGTTTCGATCATTTTGAATACGTTGTCACTACAATTCAACTTAAAATACTGTCTTGCCAGTTATCTAACCAACACAGGACCTAGCCAAGCATGTTTCGTCCAAAGACCAAATATGATCATCTTGTCCCGCTAATTTCGAAATTAACAGCTCTGAGTTTTGCTATGAATACTCATTTAAGTTTATAATCCCCAATAATAATTAAAAAACAAAAACATTCACAAAGATGAATTGTGGACACGGGGGAGGCACAAAGAAGAATGATATATACTCGATATATGAAATCTCAATTTGATCAAGGTCATGGTGCAGCCACATAAGGCATTGCCAATGTCAAAAAAAATCCAAGGTTAAATCATTCTTATGTTTGTGGAAAGAGAATCATCAATGAAAAAAGAAAATCACAAAAGTTATAGCTATAGATAGTACTACAAGTTATAAGCAAATGGATCTAATGAGATTACCTCGAGGAGTAAGAGATAAAGATGGATCCATGGATGGTTGGGTGGGTTGATCAGTGAGTTCAGAGACAAAATCAGACACATCAGACTCCGACAAAGTTGAGCAACAAAACAATTCTTCTTTCTCTTCTCTTTTTCCGGCCATTGATTCCGGTGAAAGAGGTCTTTTCCCACTATGCATCATCCGATGATATAATTTTTATTTTTAATTTTGTAGTCAAAGATGGGTTTGGGTACAAGCCAAAGGGACAGCAAAGATGTCTTATCTCTGGATCTATGTTATTATATATAGACGCACACGCATGTATTTGTTGACCAGTATAAAGACAAGTTGTATCTTATGGTAATAAACCCTAAACACCGTTAATGTTTATGTTCTTTCTTTTTTGTTAAACACAGTTTCTGTTTCATACATCATTTGAAATCATCTTTATGTTCTTATCTTGACAAAAGTTACAATATGGAGTGTATCGATAGAATCTACTGTTTTGTGTTAATACATCGTCATTTCAATATTTCATAATACGTAAAGTGTGTATGTGTAAAGTAAACTATAGGCGATAAGAAAAAAGATTGTATCAATATAACTTTGTCAAATTTGAATTGTAGCGGCGTTTATTTTTGAAATGTAACATGTATATCCAAAAATGCAGTTATTGATTCGATAGTTTTATTTGCTAGTTAGATGATGAAGGACTGTTTCAAACCTTTTAGTATAAAAAAATGTTTTGAGGAATTGAAACAAAGTAATAAATGAGTTTGCAAAGCAAAATGAGTTTGGAGTATTATTTTTTACCAAACCTCTAAGGGAGGAATTAATTTAGGGACTAGATAAATTAAATAATTATGATTTTTTTGTTAAATGTTTTAGATAACTAAGGATTATACTCCAGTAGAGAATCTTGTAATGTATTTTATTTTTCTTACTAAGACAATATATTACCAATATTTCACTGATTTATTCGGATTACAAGAAAAACAATTCCCGACCTTTTTACATGAAATGAATTCGTCTTTTCAACGGTCAACATGCTCCAAGAATATCTAAGTTACTTTCGTTTAATGTATTTAGATATTGATGATTTTGCTGAATGTCTATCTGTTAAAAAATACTAACACTATTTACTTGCACATCATATATCACTAGGTACATTACCTTTTGGCCAATTCGTGTAGCAGTGTACATACTTGTTTTGTTGAAGATATAGCAGTGTATATAATATAGTTACGTGATGTTTAGTCGATTAATAGTCAGGAAAACTGAAGCCATTCCACCTAAAAGGTACTCCGATTCCGATCAACAAATCACTGTTTTGGAATGTACAGTTTAGTCGTAAAATCAGTTTCTATTCGCTACATACAGCTTTTTGGAATGTATACTCTCCGCATTTCATCCTAATAAAATATACAAAGGAATATGCAATGAATCTCTTTTGATTAATATATGTGGTTTCTAGTGTAATATTATAAGCAGTTTGGAGGATTCGTGCCACTTTGATAAAATCATTGAGTGATTTATTATTTGGGTAGAATCTTGTCATTACATGCATGATGTCAATGAAAAAACTTCAATCATAGGAACTTGTGGTTGAAGAGAAAACTGAATATTTAACTACAAAAAAGAAAACGAAGCATAACCTGAACTGCATAAAATAACTTGGCTAAGTTAATTAGACATTGGACAGACAACGAGAATCTCAAAGTGTGCGAAATAAGATAATGATTTGAAGACCAAGATGACGTATGGGCTTACATATCAATGTGGTCAACCTTGAATTTTATAGTCATAGCATACTTCGCACGAACGAATCAACTTCAACACACACCAATGGTATACGACCATGCCGTAGTTTACTTATTTGCCACTAAACTAATAATTATTTGCCAACTTTGACTTATTATTATATTGATTTATTACTTTAACAAAAGAAAAAAAAGAAAAAAAATATAAAGATTTATAACTCTTTAATTATCAGTTTAGTATGGCATTTCTCTAATTATATACATACAATGCTTGGTAAGGTAGCTGATAAATACATTTGTTGCATCTTAATTATTCAATATGCCAGTCAATAATAATAAAAGAAAAATCAATATACCATACATTCAGTTAAATGAACATACAACAATGATGTCAAAACAAAAAAAAGAACATAGAACAATGTATAAGAGTTACGTGCTGATAAAATAAAATAAAAAGTTACGTGTGGTTGAAGGTAGAAAAAAAGTTACCTGTGGTTGAAGACTTGACGTAATAAAAAAACTCATGGTTTTACGAAAGAACTTTACATTTTGATCTGAACCATTTGCTCCTTGATCTCTAAAACCTTTTGTTGCAGTAACTTGTGCTAGGATTGGGTTGGTTTACAGTGATAGTACACAGTTCATACATAAAGTCTTCCTGTTTCGAAACCAGTTTATAAATCAAGTGGGGTCTACCTGATTATGTCGAGTGTATTCTTGAATAAGAAGAATTCTAATTCGAGTCCACTTGGAAGAAGAATATTTTTCAAAGAACATACACTAGAAGCTGTCTCCGAATAGGTCCAAACCTCATAGCACAAAAAAAAAAAAAAAAAAAAAAAAAAAATCAGTATTTCATTGGAGAATTTTGGAAATCCACTTCTTCTGTATATCGGTGAGACGGTGACCTAGAAGTTTTGTTTTATGCATTCTTACGTGCAAAATTATCGACCACGTTACCTACCGATTCAGTTGATAGATGTGAACATGCGACTGATAGATGTGTGGCGAGCATAAAAAATTCGTCGCTAAATAACGATGTTTTTGAAACGATTTACTTGGAAAAATAAATACTGACGAGTGACGATGAAACGATGAAATTTTATTTTCAATGTGAATTTCTACAAAATATGACTCATTCACTTCAACTAGGATTTTCACCCGCGCACGCGCGGGTCTGTATCTTAAATTGGTTTAAAATATATTCTTAAATAATTTTTTTTTTAAACTGCAAAAATCAACAATTAAAATTTAACAATATTTCAGTACCAAAATTCTCTGAAAAACAAAAGTTTTTAGATATATAATATGGTGTTGAGATAAAATCTTGACATCCTAAAATATTGTTTAGATCATATCCCGATAACAAAAATGTGTGTGTATGTCTAATGACCAAAACTTACTTGAAGATATTTAAATCATTATAATAAGATATTTATATATTGTAAAATGTAATGTTAATTTATGAACTATTGTGACGTGATAATCATTTTCTAAACAAAAATATATTTTTAAATATGTATAGTGAAATTCTTAAAATTAGTTGTCAATAGTATTTGTATGTAACACGATGTTTATTTAAAATAACTTCAATTTGTTATGTTATAACTTAAAATGATATAAATAACATATAATTTATTTTTCAGTACATTTAACTTACACACTGTGTTATTAGTTTATAAACTTTGATCATAATAGTATATATTTAGCTTTTATATAATATAAATTATATATTTTTTTTTATGGCTTAAAGAAAAATTTAAATCATTATTTGTTCAATGTTGACTTTTTGTTAGTAATTTTTTCACGTTTTTTATGCGTTATGGTATACATTTCTTTTTAGAAGTAGTTTTATATTAATGTTTACTTGAATATTTCCGCCTTAAATCTGTTTATAAATACATTCTTGTTCAAAAAATTTGTTAGTTACATATTTGTTTAAAAATTGCAAAATTCAGTTAGTGTTTATTTAATTTCAAAAATGGTTATTAACTCACCTCATATCATGTTTCTAATCAAATCGAGTAATCATATTTGACAAGTTTATACTACACCAAAAATGAAATTATTTCCTTTTGAATTTGATGGCAAAAACTTTATCTTGACCGATCAAACTCTGGCTGCTCATAGAATTGATACACCTGTAATCATTGTGACCATCAAAGAAACAATATCCATATCTTCTTCATATGTCTTTTACGGTATGAGTCTTGGATGAAGCCCTGCTTATCAATAAACTTATGGCAAACTCATACATTTTTCAGAAAATATTAGAAGATGTAGAAGAACTGATTATTCTACCCCTAATAGGTTTATTGCCTATATCTTTTTATCCTTATATATTTTGCCATTTTTGGAAGGTTCGTGTTTTTCTCTATTTGAAAATCGCTATTTACATGTAGATGAAATCTCTTAAAAGATATGAAGAATAACTAAGATAAATTTTTGGTGTAATATTTACATCGTAGATATGAAGAGTAACTAAGATAAAATTGTTGAACTACGATGAACTAAATATTATGTAGTATGCTATTGTTTTCTTGATTTTTTTGTTTTAGCTCCCAAAGCTTGATCTCTCTCATCACCTAAAAAAACTGCAAATGAACTCATATGTCTTCTATACGATATTACACATTTTCGTTTCTATCTCCATTTTTTTATTCATAGATTATGTAATGTTGAGATCGACTCTTTTGCAATGTTGGCTTTATTTGCTTATAACAATTCTTCAGTTATTATGGTGTAACCTATTCTTTATTTGTAAAAATTTAAGTTTCGTCAAGGATCACCTTAAGCTTTATTTAATTCTTTATAACTAATATTTTAATTATACAATTCTTTTTTTATATAGTTTTTAAAAATTTAGTTAGTTATCATTTTTAACAATAATTTTTAAAAATACTAATTTAATTACATTGGATTTGTGGAGTTTCTAATTTAAACATGTTCTATTAATACTATTGGTTGTTTAAAATTTGGAAAATTTCTTAATTTTATATGAATATGTGGAATGATACTATTAGTTGTTTAAAATTTGGAAACTTTCTTAATTTTATATGGTGATGTGTAATTTAATATTTGGAAATTTTCTTAATTTTGAAGATGCTTTATAGACTAATAAAATCATATTTTATAATCTATGTGGATGTCTTTAATGCTTATAGCCTCAATTTTTATATAGTATAGATTTTTTTTGTAAATTCTCTGTTTCTTCGATTTTGAAAGTACGTTACATATGAGCGCATCTAAAAAAATATAAGTACATTAAAAAGCTATATTGGGCTATGTCATGGGCTTATTTAGCCCATCTCCATAAAATATCTCTTGTCTCATTTAAAAATAAATAAAAATACGGCTATATTGGGCTGTATCGTGGGCTTAGCTAGCCCATCTGCATACAATATCTCTTTGTCTCAGTGTGACCGACTATATTGGGAGAAGAATAAAAAAAGGAATATTTCGCATAAATCTACGAAAATCCCTTTCCTTTTTTTTTTCTCGCACCAAACAAATTTCCTTTTTTAAACAAGAAAAGACCTGAAATTTTTTTAAGGAAAAGGTATAAATATGAAGACACACTTGAGTCTTGATCATACAATTCCATAACAACTATATATTTCAACTTTTCGTCACTCGCTCTGATATATATTCTTTCTCAAATTGAGTCGAAGACAACTCTCTAAGACTTCTTTTCATACTTTTTGGTGGAGAAGAATCGAACGAGAATGATCCAAAATCCGCAAAGCAAACCACAAGAGTTCCTTTCCTTGGGGATGCCTCAATTATCTACATCGGAGACTAATTGCTCGTTCGACATCAAGTCATCGGAAAAACCAATGAAAGTTTCGGACTCCGAGGCTCTCTGTTCATATGACGAGACATGGCCTTGTGGAAACCCTAAGAAGAGGAAGTGGAACAACACGCAAGATTCAATTTCTTGCGAGCCAAGCGACAAGCAGTTAACTAAAGAAGAAAGAAACATCGCACGAATGAGGTTTCTATCGAGTGAAGAAAAGGCTGAGGAAGAACGATACGGTGTTTCAACAGAGCTAACTCTCTCCATCACTGATCAATGGACCATCAAGAAGGTACTAACCACAAAAGATCTTGGTCAGCTTAGCCGTCTTTTTCTTCAGACCAGATCCGTTCAAGATCACATTATCAAACATCTCGACGAGGATGACCAAGAAAAGGTCCAAGAAGGCTCGGGAGTCACGGTCAAGGTGTACGACCACGACACTAAATCTACGCACGAGCTGCTTCTAAGGAGACTGGACAGAGACACGCCGCGAGATTATATACTAAACGGAGGATGGCGTATGTATTTTGTCCGGAGAAGAGGTTTGAGAAAAGGCGACAAGATTGGACTCTTTTGGGATCCGTTTGCTTCAAAGCTACACTTTCGTGTGCTTTATCGGGCAGCCACACTATTTTTGTAGATCAGAAATCAGAAAATTCTCAACTAGCTATAGTGCAATAATGTATGGACAGAGATTCTTCTTTTTGTTAAGGCTTATTATGTTTGGCAATTATATTCCAAGAATTTTTATATTACTGCATTTTATTTTCATATTATACTTTATCAAGAAAAAAAACAAAGTTCATATTACTACTGTTATGGGATCATATTACGTCTTGGCAGAAAAATATTGTAGATCAACAAAATTTATGAAATATTGTTTTTTGACATAAAACTTATAGAATCATGTTTTTGGAGAGAAATCTCTAACTCTTTATTGAACAAGTCTAATGAAACTTATATTGGTTTCAGGCTTATGTTAAAAGATTTAGAAAGTATGATTTCGATTCCACATTCGTCAGAAAATTATTGAGCTTTCTTGTTTGTTATAATTTTTGGATCGTAAGATATAATTATTAATTAATTTATGCTTTCAAAAAAGGGTAAGGTTAACATGGGGTAAATGATCAAAGTGTGTGTTTGGTATAAGTTTTCTAGCATATTTAGCGTTTGATCCACCAAAAATATTGGTCTTTGACCGGTAGCTCTCAAGATGAATTCATCTAACAGTTTCTAACTAACTTAGTTTGAGAAAGAGGAGAGTTTGGAGCTATATGCGTTTTTCTTGTGAATAGTGACTTAACTTGTGTGTACTTAAGCGCATCTATATTTCTAGATTTATATGAGTGAATCAAATGATTTTGATATATCAGACTGATCATATATATTATGGTATAAAATAATCGATGTGATGATTCTTGAACAGATGATTTTAACTATTTTCTCATCCACATGTAAAGTTTTAAAAATTCCAAAAAATGATAGTACAAGAAAGGAGCACGTACGTCAATAGTAAAATGTATTTTGGTATCACTTTTTCAGAAAATAAAATTGAGTTAAAACGTCGAATACAAAATCAATGATAGTACTCCTACATGATTAGGTACTCTACAATAAATGTAACCAACAACCAACCAACTAATCCTTTCCCCTAATCGCAAATTCACATCCATAACATTATCCTTCATTCTCTATATAAACACTCACTCACTCAGCTCTCTTCATCATCACACATATCTGCTTTTGCAAACAACTAAAAACACTAAACCTAAGAGAGAAATGGCTGGTCTAATGAAGGTTGCATGCTTGGTCTTGGCCTGCATGATCGTGGCAGGTCCAATCACATCGAACGCGGCTCTGACCTGTGGCACCGTTAACAGCAACGTGGCACCGTGCATTGGCTACTTGACCCAAGGTGGGCCCCTTCCCGCAGCGTGCTGCAGAGGTGTTAGTACCCTTAACAGCATGGCCCGTACAACCCCGGACCGTCAGCAAGCTTGCCGTTGCCTTCAATCAACCGCTAAAGCCATAGGCTCTGCGCTCAACGCTGGCCGTACAGCTGGACTTCCCAAGGCATGTAGAGTCAATGTTCCTTTCCCAGTCAGCACCAGCACCAACTGCAACAGGTATGTTGTGTTGTCATGATTTGTGGTCTAACCAACGTTAACATGTTTTAATGGAAATTTGAGTTTTTATATGATTGCAACAAGTTTATACTAATGGATATTAACGTACTATGTTATGTTTGATTTGGATGTGGTTGCAGCGTGAAATGAGCATGGTCGGATGAAGCTTAACCGGACGTTTCGAACATTATAAAATGGATGAGATATTAAATAAGATGTTCGCATGATCGCATCGTTGTTTTTGGAATTTTTAATTTCCTGTCGTTTTTTTTATTATTATGGTGATCCTATATATTGGTCGTCTGTACTATATATGTTCGCAAACAGTTATTATATAATTTTCAGATTTAAGGTTTGCGTTGTTATATTATAATCTTAACAAACGTAGTTTAGTTTCATCGATATGAAGAAAAAAAGTTTCATTAGTTTGCATTACGGATGGATCGATGCGAGTAAAAAAAGTTCCATTGGGAGCCTTTAGTATAACATTAATAAAGTAATGAAACATTCTCTAAGTTTAAACTCCCAAGAAAATGATGGATTGCTTTCTCACGGTTAACTGTCAATTACAATTTTTTTTGGGGACCAACCAATTATTAGCTTAAATCAAAACAGAGTTTGAAGAGCTTAAATCAAAACAGAGTTAGCCAAAGAATCTGCCTGCAAATTGACAATCATAGCCTCCTCATAGGGATGAAACGAAAGGAAAATCGTAGTGAACAAACATGGCTAAAAGTCGGTGAATCTTCTCGGTGAACATGTACAGTTTTATGCATAAAAAGTATGAAAAATAGAGAGTTAAATTATAGATGTAGACGTGTCAAAATAAAACTTGGTACTATTTGTAGTGTTTGGTGTATATGCACATCCCCATTGCCTTGCAACGAATTTTTTAGATTCTGCTTTAAATGCTTCACTTCAGCCTTTGCAGACCGTAATAAATTAATGTGGATGGCAGATATGTAGATGATAGTCCCTTGATGAATTTAGTTTAGTTTAGTATGGATGGTTTGGTGGTATATTTTGTTTTTATCACTTTTTGATGTTAGTTTTCTATTTGATCTTTGCATAGTGATTGTATATTAGGAGTACTCTTAGATTCTTTCTTTTTTTTGGCATATGGAGTCCTTTGGGAACACTAGGAGATTTGGAGAGACAATCACATCAATTAGAAAGCAAAGAGAAAAGAGGAGAAAAGAGAGTTAATCGAAGAAGTATCGATCTGTTGTTTGATCGACCACCACTCAAGTCATAGGCAACGTGGACACAAAGTTGATCAGTCAATTTATTAGTAACTCTCTAAGCAAATATATTAGTTTGATAACAGAACCAGAGGTTGTTTTACAACTTTATCTTTAATAATATGGTCGTTTCATGTTTACACGTTGTAATTTTGCTTATTATCAAAGACACATACTTTAACTTGATAATAAGATCTAGTGAAATGTACTAGTAAAAACACCTAGTCTTTTTACCGAAATAAGACTAGAAATCGATGTACAGTAGTATGGGGACGACGAAGTGATGGGCTTGTAAAGCAAATCTAATTAAGTAATTGCCCGGTTTAGGCAAACGACAATGACTACATCCTACCGACGTGTCGTGCATTCAGTACATTGATTATCTATCAGTCAATTTTTCACATAATGACAAACCAACTAATTAAACTCTATGGTGTGGTGTGGCAAGGAGCCAAGGACAAAGACGAAGACAAACCGACATCTTCTCGTGTGTATCTTTCGTAGAGATTTTCTTGTTTTTCATGAGAACAAAATATACGAATATTTAGTATTGGATCATACTAGAACTCAAACCACCAGTAAAATCACAGAGAATACATATAAAAATTTTACTCTAAGAACTTTAAGAGATACATAGAATTGCAAAAATTGATTGGTTCTGTTTTTGTTGACAAACGAAGTTAAAAGATGAAGCTCCAGATTCTTTATTCCAAAGACTATTCGATCGAGTGAGCAGAATAATGTTCTAGTTGTCACATGTGCCACATCCCTTTGCTTTACCAATTAATCTAGGAAGAAAGTAGATCACACTCTCATTCCTTAAAACGCTTCCAAAACTGGAATGTGATCACACTCTAATGATTAAGGCAGCAATGGGAATGAATCCATAAACCAAAATTTTAATAATCATTCCTCAAAACTCTTTCAAAATTTTCGAGGAATGATTACGGAACTACCATATCAGCTAACTTCCAAAATTTAATTTCATATTCAAAATTGGATTTAATAACATGACATATTCTCGAAAATCGATTTACCAAAATTTTTTTTGTCAACGCGGCTCAAATTTTGGGAAATACATAAAACATTTTTTTGTAACTTACTACTGAATAAGTCTATATATATAAATGTAGGAAATACCTCTTAAGAAATGAAACACTTCAAAAAACTTTAACCATATAGATAAGCATACAATAAAGATAATTTTCTACAATAACAACAAATCTGTACAAGGTTTTCTATCATTTTTTGTTGATCGTCGTCTCATCAACAAATCATATCTTACATCATATTGTGAAGGTTGGCTTCTCATACAATTTGTTTGTATAGTTTGATTCATTAATAATATGACAAGATTTTGTTTAGTTGTGAATTTCAAGTTCTAGGCATTAACAATGAATACTTCATACACAATTACTTGATCAATTGTGTGGTTTCATATAAGAAATTTTTAAGGCCATGATCATTTGGAACTCATTTAGGAAAAATTCAATTCTACTATAGAAAAACTCACTTGTGAGACAGTAGAATTGATGTCATGAGAGAAAATGTTAAGAGTTGTTATCCGATCAATGATTTTAAACCAGTTTCGATTTGCTCTGTAATTTTGATTTATTTTATTTTTTTTCATTGAATTCACATATATGTATAAATAATTTTGCGTTATACTTTGGATTTTTTCTTGTATAATTGACACATAAAATCCATCGGAATGGTATAAGGATAAATTATTAATTTGAAACAAGTTTATCTGATTTTAATAAAGTATTTTAATTATTGTCTGGTTGAATGCATTGGTTTGTGTAGATCTTTGCGTTTAAAATTCACATATATTTTCAATCTCTCACATTGCAGAAGAAATGAACGAGAGAGATCCAAGATCAGTCAAAGTTACCAAAAGAGTTACTTTTCGTGAACCCATTGCTTGCATAATGGGAGAGAGTCCGGTATCAACGGAACTGAGTATGTCCGATGAAACAGGGCCTTGCAAGGACCCTAACAAGAGACAGAAGAGCTCTAATGATCCCGAGGCTTCTCTCGGACCGAAAGAAGAGAGCAAGATCGAACAGATGAGGGTGATCTCGAATGAAGAAAAAGAAGAGGAAGAGCGTTATGGAGTCTCCACGGAACTAACTCTCTTCACCGATCCATGGACCATCAAGAAGGCACTGACTCCAAATGATCTCGACTATCTAAACAGTCTTTCACTCAACGCCAGCACTGTAGAGAGCCACATCATGAGGTTTCTCCACGAGAATGACCAAAGAAAGGTCCATGGCTCTGGATTAGTGGTCAACGTGTATGATCACGACACTCATTCTATGCACAAGCTGTTGCTGAAGAAATGGAGCACGGATCAAACCTATGCTCTCTACAATGGATGGCGTATGGGTTTTGTCCGCAGAAGAAGTTTGAAGGATGGAGATGAGATTGGAATGTATTGGGATCGTTCTGATTCCAACCTTCATTTTCGCGTGCTCTCTCGCGCACCAACATTTCAGTAACAGCAGGAGCGAGCTTAAGCTTTAACAATGATTGAAGTGACCCAATATCTTTACCTTTTTGTTTTAAAATAATCTTATAAAAATAAAAATAAATGTACTTTTGTTTCCATAACCATAAGTATTTTGTTTAAGAAAGATGAAAACAAAAACCAATTCGCGAAGTTTTAATATTAGCCTAGTCGTACTCGAGCATCAATATTCAATTTAAAATACACAGAAGAAAACATGTGGAAAATTAGGCAGAAAATTAACCATGCTTTTCTTGAACAAAATATTAAAATGTTACTCAAGTTTCAATCAACTAATCCCACTTGCTAGTTGCTACTGCTTCCTTTTAGTACCAAACTACGAATCATAAAGATAAAACATGCGACTAAACACATCTAATCCCTTACAGAGAAGGAGATATCGACTAAAACGTCACCGGAAAATTCAAGAACAATCCAGACTCTAGCAGGCTCAGTTTATATAGACAGTGTCACTATGCCTTGGTGGTCTATCAGGAACCGTACCTGGCTTGAACCTGGACGCCTCATGTCTCGCTAGCTCAGGAGGGACCGCACTGTTGCTCTGAACAAGCATCTGCTTCAAATCATAAAAGACCTCAGTATCATGAAGCGTCAAGAACGAAGTCGCAACACCGCTCTTCCCAGCACGTCCCGTACGTCCGATACGATGCGTATACATCTCTATATGCTTAGGCATGTCATAGTTTATCACATGAGCCACGTCCGGGATATCGATTCCACGCCCTACGACATCAGTCGCCACGAGAACGTTGTACCTCTTCGCTCTGAAACCTTCCAAGCTGATCTCTCTCTGCTCCTGCGACTTCCCACCGTGTAAAGTCGTGACTCGGTACCCCGCCTTGTCAAGATTCTTAGCGATGGAATCGGCGTTCTTCTTCGTGTTGACAAACACGATTGCGGTTTTATCTCCGAGCTCGTCAAGCAGTCTCTGCAACCTGAAGAACTTCTCCGACTCTTTCATCATGATCACGTGCTGCGTGATCAGATCAGTCGTCTTCCCTGCAGTACCAATGGTGACGACAACAGGGTTCCTCAAGTACTTCCTAGCGAGCCGCTCTACACCAGGAGGCATTGTAGCACTGAACATGTAAGTCGTTCTGTAGATCTTCTTCTCGTCAAGCTCTTCCTCCTCGTTCTCCGGTTTCAGATTACTTGACGGCATAGCATCCAACACACCAGCAACCTGTGGCTCAAACCCCATGTCAATCATCCGATCAGCCTCATCAAGAACCACGTAGTTGCACTGGTTCAACACAGCGTAACGCCTCTCAAGGCAATCAATCAAACGACCAGGAGTTGCAATCACAATCTCACACCCCGCTACAATCTTCAACCCCTGCTCCTCAATCGACTGACCTCCCACTATGGAAGTCACGTTAAACCCTAGATAATGCGCGAATTTATAAGTCTCCTCCTCAATCTGCTGAGCAAGCTCACGAGTAGGTGCAAGAACCACAGCGTACGGACCTTCCTTCTCATTCCCTTCGCTCATTGGCGGCAATCTCGATATGTAAGCTAACATAGGCAAGACGAAAGCAGCGGTCTTACCGGAGCCAGTCTCTGCAATGCCGATCACATCACGCTGTTGAAGCCCTAGTGGTATCGCTGCCATTTGAATTGGAGAAGGTTTCTTGTAGCCAGCTCTCTCCACAGCCATTAAAAGCTCAGAGCTTAGCTTGCTCTCTTCCCAGCTCCTCATTGGACGAGGGATTCTAGAGCCCTTGTAAGAGATGTTGAAATCTTCCCTGAAGATTCGCCAATCCCTTTCGCTCATCTCCTCTAGCCTCTTGTCGCTCCAGTGCCTATCGACTCTCATGTCGAACGAGTCGTATGCATCCGCCGCTTCTTCTCGCTCCTTCTGTGCAGCGGCTTCCTCGGGTCTCTCAACGACGCCGTCCTTTTTGCGGATCTCGTCGCGCATCTCTCTCTCGTGCTTGGCCGCTTGCTTCTTCTGCTCGCGGCGGTCCATGCCGGCGCGGAACCCTCTGCCAAAGAGAAGCTGAGCTTCGTGAGGGTTTTGGTAGAGAGCGTTCATGTCCCTCGAGGTGTCCTCTGTGTTTTCCCAATCGAAAGAGAAACGGAACTTCTCGCTTGGCCTGATGACTCTCTTCTTCGGCTTCTTGCCTCCGAGGTACTGCTCTTTGATGGCGTCGAGCTCCTTCTCCCTCTCTCGCTCGACTAACTTCTCAACCCGCGCCTTCTCCCTCGCCTTGGTCTCCTCCTCCCGCTCCCGATCTCGAACTCGCCGGTCCGGCTCACGATCTCGATCACGACGGTCACGGTCACGCTCTCTCTCCCTATCGCGGTCTCGCCCTCTATCTCTCTCCCTATCGCGGTCGCGCTCTCGGTCCCGGACCCGATCTAGGTCGCGGTCTCGTTCCCGATCCTTGCCGCGGTCTCCGTTCGCGTCTTCATCCTCGGGCTCGGGGCGACCGAGTTGCTCGCGGCGGAGACGCTGCTCGGCGATTACATCCTGGCGTTTCTTTAGGGCTAATTCTTCGCGCTGGGCTTTGGTGAGGAAGACTGGCTTCATGGATTTGGCGGAATCGAGTGGATTCGCCGAAGAAGATCCGATGACTTCGTTGATTGATCGCTTCATAGCTGCTGCTGAAGAAATCAGAGATTCGCTTGGTCGATTGCAGAACGGGAATGCTAAAGAAGATCTAGAACCGTCTTCTCCTTTTCTCGTCTCTTCTTCTCTCGCTCGTCTTTTCTTTTTCACTTCTTCTTTTTATATTTTGCGAATTTGCTAATTCGGCAAAAAAATTTGATATATAAGCCCTACTAGGGTTTTAGCCTTTTAGGCCCAATAGTTTCTAAAATCTAACAGAAAAAATACAAATGGTTTTAAAAGAAATAATTTTCCAAGGCAAAGTAAATTTGTTCTTACTTAAAAAGAGATCAACTTCTCATAGACATCACTTAACTGTCATGACTGAATTTTCTAACAAAACTTACAAAGGTTTAAAGAATTGACTTATTCCAAAATGCTTTTCTTTGTCCATTACTCAATTTTGTATTTGGACATAGTGGAATATAAAATCATATATTGCTTCTCTTTTTCACTTCTTCTTTTTATATTTTGCGAATTTGCTAATTCGGCAAAAAAATTTGATATATAAGCCCTACTAGGGTTTTAGCCTTTTAGGCCCAATAGTTTATAAAATCTAACAGAAAAAATACAAATGATTTTAAAAGAAATAATTTTCCAAGGCAAAGTAAATTTGTTCTTACTTAAAAAGAGATCAACTTCTCATAGACATCACTTAACTGTGATGACTGAATTTTCTAACAAAACTTACAAAGGTTTAAAGAATTGACTCATTCCAAAATGCTTTTCTTTGTCCATTACTCAATTTTGTATTTGGACATAGTGGAATATAAAATCAGCTTCTCTTTTTCTTTTTTCTTACGGTTACAAAATTATGGAACATCCTTTTATTTACTCAATTCATTTCCAAAATAGACTTAGAATTATGATAAATTTAAATTTGGATTACAAACCCTTTCAAGTTTTACAAAACCTCCTTGAACTGAGAAGTAGTAGTGACTCAGCTCACTCATTAGAACTCAAACCAACTAAACTAATGGTTGTAAACTGAAATAATGGTTGCTAGGGAACTCTATCAAAGAAGACGAAAGCCATTTCATAAAAAGGGTTTTGAGTCTTTCCCTAAAACAGAGAACAAAAAAACAAATGTAAATTTTGTGACAGCAGCTAAGCTAAACCTCGATTGATACCTAATTAATACTGTTTTGCTCCCTGCCTAAAACAAAAACTCAAACCCCTTGCTAAACTGCTGATGTCTCTAACTCATCATACAAACTATACATACCACCTAACCCTTAATTCTTGCATTTACCAAAGAAAATTCTTCATCCCAAGGCCATTGCAAGTAAATATGAGCTCCTTGTACTTGTTGAATAGCTCCTGCAACAAAACAATTGGCGAATCATCAACCTCACAGCTTTGGAAGTGAAGTGAAATAATAACACTCTCTCTTGTACCATGTTGTGCTCATAGATACGACGCATCCTTTTCTTGTCATACTCCTTCCTTGTAAATGGGTCGCTCAATACTGATTAATAAAACAATTAAAAACCTTTACTGTTAAATCTCACAGAAACCAAATTGCAGAAACATATTTCTTTCTCCTAAACTAGTAAATCTCTCTCTTTCTTCAGTTATACATTTTTGCATAACAAAGATCAAACCTTGATAAGCCTCGTTGATTTCTTGAAACCTAGACGTAGCAGAGTCCTCTTCTTTAAGTTTATCCGGATGCCACTTCTGCAAAACAGCCAAAACACAAATCCTCAACTCCATCACTGAAGAACACAGAACCAGAGTTTGTCCGGAAATGGAGAAAACGACACAAACCAGAGCAAGTCGGATAAAGTTGGAACGAATCTCATCGTCGGAAGCGTCGCAGCTCAATTCAAGGACTTTATAGTGATCCTGCAAACACACACACACCCCCCACTTTCACAAATTCGAAACCTTTAACCAAATTAAAACCGAATAATTGTCGAATTTTGTTAATTTTCGTACCTTGTAATTCTCGAAGTCGAAGAAATCGGCGAGAAATGAGCCATGGCCGTCTTCCCAATCGGAACACCACATCCGGTGTGAGCAAACGAATTCGAGCTTCCCTCAATTCACGACATTCGTCTCTCGCAGTCGTCACTTAAAAAACTTCAGATAAAGCGAAAAAAGTGATTTTTAGATATTTGCATTTGGACCCCATAAGTTCTTGTTATTGTCATTAAGGACATTTAGCAGCTTCCAGAAATAGGAAACGGCAGAGAAAATCAGTGATGGCTTTGTCTCTGGGCAGCAGAATCGGATCATCCGTCTTAATACGACGGCGTTTTCCGGTCGTCGGCGCGTTTTGTGTACTAAGCTTGAGTTTTTCAAGTCTCTCCTTCTCTTCTATTTCGTCGTCTTCATTCAAATCGGGTTGTGCCCAATCGTCCTTCTCTGTTGCCCCTCTCTTAAGGTTTAGCATTCAGATTTTTGTTTCAAATTGTTGTTTTTTTTGGTTAATATACCTTATGAAACTGGAAATGATTATAGGTCTAAGTTTAGCAATAAGGCTTCGTCATCTGGTGGAACGATCAAAATGGAAGAGAGCAGCAAAACTGTGCCCAGCATTGTTGTCTATGTCACTGTTCCCAACAGAGAAGCAGGTCTTTTTTTTCTTCTTCTTTAAATTTCTGAATTTTAGATTGGAGACCCTTGTAGCCAAATTTGGAAACTGGAGGAGTAATCTCTTAAAGTTTACTACTTTCTACTGTATTTTGCTTATCGGAGGAAGCTCACACTGATCTCTGATCGAGCTGTATGCGAGTTCTTACTCTGTTCTTCTTTTTTGTTCTCATTGACAGGAAAGAAGTTGGCTAATAGCATAGTCCAAGAGAAGCTTGCGGCGTGTGTGAACATTGTGCCAGGTACTTCCCTTCTCCTTGTGTTAGCCTCTTTGGCCTTTGTTTCCATCAGATTTTCAGTAAACAGATTCTGTACATTTGGTTTAGCTGAGTTTTTGCCAGCAAGATTTTGTAGAAAACCTTATTTGTTAGCTAATCACTTGGTTTGGTCAGTATGATTTTGCTAATCAGAAAAAGAAAGAATTTAACTCATGAGAAGCCAATATCAGCCAATCCATGCGCTAAACTCTGTTGATTCACCACTTTCTTCTTTGTTTGCTTGCTTGTTCTGTGGTTTTGAATATTTACTAGCTCTGTAACTAGAAGATGTTATTGTTTGTTTACTTGGATTCAGGTGTTGAATCGGTGTACGAGTGGGAGGGGAAGGTAAGTCGTGAACAAATACGTGCAAATCTTTCTGCATTATTCTTTTACATCAATATACTATCTCCAAGACTACAATGGATAATGGTTTAACAAAAACTCTTTGAAGATTTCTGCATTTATCATTTTGTTGCTTGGAACATTGTTCATCTTTAGTCTGAGCTATTTCTGCAATCTGGTCTCTGAATACATTGCATATAATCAGTCCCTTTTGGTTTCAGGTTCAGAGTGATTCCGAGGAGCTTCTGATAATCAAAACGAGGCAATCTCTTCTAGAGTCTCTAACCGAGCACGTCAATGCAAATCACGAATACGAGTAAGCATTGCGTTTTCACACATATAAAAAAATAGTCTCTAGAATGAGAAGTAATTGAGCCCCTTTGTTTTTACTTGTTTCTTTAGTGTGCCAGAAGTAATTGCATTGCCTATAACTGGTGGGAGTGACAAGTATCTAGAATGGTTGAAAAACAGTACAAGGAACTGAGATCTCTTATGTGTCCATGTCCTGCATGAATGGCTTTGGAGTATTGGCTTTCTTCTACCTTTTCAACAACCTCTGTGCTCCAAATAAGGATCTCTTCCCATCTGTTGATTGTCGCCTAGCTTGTGAAAAATGTAATACCAAAACCAGTTCGCTTTATGAAACAAGAGTTTTTTTTTTATTTTTTTTATTCAATAATGAACAAACAAGCTCACAACAGTTTTGAATAAACCATAGATGTTACAGTTACTATGTGTCTTTGTACACAGATCATTAGAAAAAAAAGAGAACACATTGAAACTGTAACATGGTAAGGTGCTTTCTTTTAAGCAGTAGTAACTGGAAGCTGAGGCAGTTGTGTCTCCTGAGTCTCAGTCTGAGTCTTCTTCTCGGATTTGAACTGTCCGTAGAAGTAAGAGAGGAATCCCCAAAGGGCTAGAAACAAAGAGAGACCTTTCTCTGCCTGAAACTTCTCCTGGAAGAAAAGGACGGCCAAGACTTCCGTCAACGGAAGCAGAGCACTGATCAGAATTCCAGAGACCAGAGACGATGCACAGAAGATCATCCCAATAGCTCCCAAGAAAAACGCTTGCCAGGTCACGGCCGTCAACACAAGCACCACATAGTAAAAAGATGTCCCTCCCTTAAAACTTCTTGCTTCTCTTGCCATCACCTGCAAGATCAACACAAAATTCAAGAATCGTCCTTTTAGATCAAGAATCTCTAAAAAGCATGCATAACTTGTAGGGGAAGAAAGGGTTGACCTTGAAATCGCCATCAGCGAACATGCCGACGAGGCAGAAGACATTGGCAACCATGGACAAGATCATCTGGATCTCAAGCACAACCGTGTAGGTGATCTCTTGACGAGCCTTCTTGTAAATGAGCTCCACAAGCGGCAAGACAAAGGCGTAGAGAAGAGCTGCAGCAATGGTCATGAGGAAGCCAACGACATACTCCTTGTGTGTCTCTTTGGCAAGCTGGTCACCTTCGGTGTGAAGGGCAAGGACTCCGGCACCGAGAGTGATCAAAACGACGGCGTTTATAGTGAAAGGTGTGAACTTTTGCTTGACCATGAAGTAAGCGAAGAGAGCAGTGAAGGCCAACTGAGAGGAGATGATGAGAGACGCAGTGGAAACAGGGAGGTAAGCTAATCCGTAAGCGTAGAGGTAGTTGTCAAAGCCAGTGAGCAGACCGAGGAAGATAGAGGCGATGAACAGAGGAGTTTTTATGAGGTAAAGTGGAGCCTTTCCTTCTTCTTGCTCTGCTTTACGGCTACGACGACGGCGGAGGTAGGAGAAGAGTAGAGGGAAGACGAGGAGTGGACAACCTGCCGTTTGGATGAAGCTTGAGAGCCAGATACGTTTGCCACCGTTTTTGAAGTAGAGACGTGTTAGTAGAGGGCCTAGACAGTTTCCAAGTCCCAGGATTGTACAGTTTATGATTACTAGAGCTGTTTTCATCTTCATCATCTTCTTGCTTATGAAAATATGTTTTTTTCTGTTCTTGTGTGTGTTTTTAGCATTCTTGTGGTCTTTGATTAAATAGTCATTTCGCATGAAAAAAAGATTTGAGCTATTTTTAGGTGGACTATTATTTATGTTTTTTGTTTCCTTTTTGGTCAAATCTATACTATTATTTAATTTTCAAGTTGAAATGTAGTGGAATACTAGATGGAAACCTAACTTTTCGCGTTCTGACATCACGGTTTTGGTTCTGGTTTTGGTTTTTCGATTTTCTAAAAACTGAAGCCATCGTACAAAAACAGTTGTGGCATATGAAACTAACTGCATTTTATCGGTTGTGGGGTTAGCATATGGACGTTTTTAGGTTGCTGTCTCGGCCGATTGTTTCTGATGATAATTCCGTCATACTAATACGTACCTCATGCTCTTCTAAAAACCACACGTTATTATTATATATTATCTAATACGAATATTTGTCTATATCATGAACTGTGAAGTGTTTTAGTCATCAAATCCTAGAAAGTGTGATTCGTATTTTTGTATAGTAGACTGTTCGCTGGCAACAAAAAAAGAAGGTATAGTAGATTGTTCTGTTCTGTCTACACAAAAGAATGCGAATCACAAGACAAGACAAGACAATACATGAACACTTGACCAAACAAATAAAAAAATATATAAAACGTACAGAGAGAACCAACCCACTAGTCCACTGCTATTCCTGGAGCTTCCTGAAACAGGCACGACACAAAATTATATTGCCAAGACGCAAATACACGTTCATTTTGTATCCATACATGATACATGCATGTCCTTTAAACACGGGTCGACTGGCTATAGCTCGACTGGTAAAGAGATCATAGGCAAAGCTTAGAGGTCACAAGATCGAGTGCCGTTTGGGACGAAAAAAAAAAAAAAAAAACGTATAGAAAGGCACAATGAGGATGTGAATATGATGAGTAATTTGTTCGGTTTTGTTTTACTATATATGGGTTATACTTTTATTGTTTTTTAATATGCTTTGCCAATACGTTTCCATGTAATGTAGTTTCTTTTCATGTTTTCGGATGTTTTATATGTAAAAGAAGACGTTTGCATGCAATCAAAGAAGCAACCAAAAAAACATTGCCTAATTGATAAGATAATAAATTAAATTACTTTTACTTTAGTGGTTGGTTTAAAGAAGATGCGTTTAGCTAGAATCCAAACGAATCATAATTGAGATATGTGTTTGTTTTTGCTTTTGATTCAAGAAAATATAGTTGAGATTCTTTTAATAAACAAAAACATATTACAATGCGTTTAGCTAGCTAGAATCACTATTTAACCTTAATAACTTTATAACTAGATTTTTAAGCGATTAGCAAAAATCTTTGGGGAAAAAACGAATTTTAGAAATGAAGACAAGTTTGTGATTGTTTCACTTTTTGTTTCATCATGTAAGTTTATTTTTGGTCAACTATGAAGAAATAAACATCATATATTTTATACTCTTTAACAATATTTTTCAGAATGAAAACTGAACCAACATTTATAGAGAAACAAATGGAGGAAAGACGCAGAAATTTAAAGCTGCGAGAGACATTTTCATTGGGTTCTCAGCAGAAACCAACTTCAACAGGTTCACGCTCACCTCATTGTCACTGGATATGGTCATAGCCGGAGTCTCTTGACAAAGCTCATAGTTTGTGAAGTGTAATACCAGACCAGGTCGCTTTATGAAATAAGATTCACAAACGAACCAATGACAGTTATAACCAACCACCACATCATATAGGGAAATCATGAAAACCATAGATGTTGCACTTATGTGCTTTTACAAATATCATTAGAAAATGAGGAACAACACATCACTAATTTAAGATACAGAATCAGTAACTGGAAGCTGAGGCAGTTGTGTCTCCTGAGCTTTGGCCTTCTTCTCCTTATCAGATTTTATCTGTCCGTAGAAGTAAGAAAGGAATCCCCATAGGGAGAGAAACAAAGAGATACCTTTCTCCGCCTGAAACTTCTCCCGGAAGAAAAGGACGGCCAAGACTTCCGTCAACGGAAGCAGAGCACTGATCAGAATTCCAGAGACCAGAGAGGATGCACAGAAGATCATCCCAATAGCTCCCAAGAAAAAACCTTGCCATATTATGGCAGTGAACACAACCACCACACAGTAATAAGAAGACCCTCCAAGCTTAAAACCTCTTGCTTCTCTTGCTATCACCTGCAAATCATCAACACAATTTAAACATCCCAATTCTTGTTTCTCATATCCTACTCTCACTCTCCAGATAAATTAACAGTTACACTTTTGGTATAAAAAGCATAATAATGTCTTATCCAAAAAAGAGAGTCAAAAGTACACTTTCTCTCCGGATCAATCCACTGACATCATCACGGTTTAAAAGGCTTAAAAATGCAATCTTTATAAAGAAAGAAATTCAAGAATCTTACTTTTCGATCAAGAAATTCAAAAATTCCATTTCTTAGATTCTCAAGATCAAACCATACTAAAGAAAAAAAGATGAAACATGCATAACTTATAGAAAAAGAAAGGACTGACCTTGAAATCTCCATCAGCAAGCATCCCCACGAGGCAGACGCAAGTAGCAACAAGGCACAAGACCAACTGGATCTCGAGCACGAGCGTGTAGCTAATCTCTTGACGAGCCTTCTTGTAAGTAAGCTCCACAAGCGGCAATATAAAGGCGTAGAGGATAGCTGCAGCAACGGTCATGAGGAAGCCAACGACATACTCCTTGTGTGTCTCATTGGCTAGCTTGTCACCGTCGGTGTGAAGGGCAAGGATTCCGGCACCGAGAGTAAGCAAAACGACGGCGTTTACAGTGAAAGGTGTGAACTTTTGCTTCACCATGAAGAAGGCGAAGAAAGCAGTGAAGGCTAACTGAGAGGAGATGACGAGAGCAGAAGTGGAAACAGGGAGGTAAGCTAATCCGTAAGCGTAGAGGTAATTGTCAAAGCCAGTGAGCAGACCGATGACGATAGCGGCGAAGAACAGAGGAGGTTTTATGAGGAAAAATGGAGTCTTTTCGTCTTCTTCTTTACGGCGGCGGAGGAAGGAGAAGAGGAGAGGGAAGAAGATGATTGGACAGCCTGCGGTTTGGAGGAAGCTTGAGAACCAGATCCGTTTGCCACCGTTTCTGAAGTAGAGACGTGCTATTAGAGGGCCTCCACAGTTTCCAATCGCTAGGATTATGCAGTTTATGATCACAAGAACGGTCTTCTTCTTCATCATCATCTTCTTGCTTAGAACATGTGTGTTTTAGGCGGTTCTTGTGGTCTTCTATTTAATAGACATCGCATGAAAAGAGAGTTGTGGACTTTAGGTGGACTATTATTAGTTAAAGACTCATCATCATGCCGCGGCGTTTGCAAGATGAAGACCAATGTAATTACTCCTAATGTACAGAACCCAAAGAAAAAGGAAAAAAATTAACTGTATTTTACCGGTTGACCACATTTCCAAGACCGCTAGCCGACAAAAAAAATAGAGCGCTAAAGTCAAAAGCAACCGTCACTTGGGTGGCTTGCCTTTACGGCTAGGGGCACACATGTGGTTGCGTGTGGCAAATTATGTGACTATTCATTTTATCCATAGTTTCATACCAATCCAAAGTTTGACTTATCAATAACTGCAAGCACGAATATCAATGTGTATACATGGATAATTTTCTTGTTGTTGCCAACTATCTACATATGTATATTTATACCAATCCAATGTTTGACGTTTTAGGTTGATGATTTTGGTTGCTGTCTACGGCGATTGTTGTTGGTGATAATCTAATCCTCACTTGTCGATTCTAATTAGACGTTTGTGATGCTGATTGCTGAGTGATCATAAAATATTAAGCTAATATCAATATGAACTTATGAACTATTGAGTCCTCCTTTCAGAAAGAGAGAACTTTTCCACATCCTTTCTTTTCTATGAGAAGTGGACTCTTTTTGGTTTGCAGATTGAGTAAGTTTTACAACATTCTCACCTTTTTGTTATCTTGCTTAATGGTTTGTACGGGACCTGAAAGTGCAACCGAATTCGCTTATTCCGGAGGTAGAAGTTGGTTTTCAACGTCATATAAGATCAAGTCACATTTGAACATGACTAGGCTATATCAATTCGGCTTAGCCGCGATTTCTCTTCTGACACATTTGAGCTTAACTTCTAATTTGCTGTCATATGAAGATTTATCTATCTTATGCTTTAGTTTTCACAAAGGATGGTAAATTTCCTCTAAGTTGTGTAACACCCAAACTTAATTAATGGAATTAAGAATTTAAACAAAAAAAAAAGGAGGCTAAGTTCAGTTTTTGAAGTGAATGATGTAGAATAGAGGCGGCGGTTCAACTCTCAGCCTCTATTGTGATATGTGGGAGATGATTCTTGTAGTTTGCAAGAATGGCGGTTGGAGGCGGCTTCTCTGGCGGCTCCAAGAGGTTCCTATGCCGCCTGCGAGGTTTTGGGGACGGCATGACTCACGACAACGGTGTGGAGATTCAAGATCTTTGGTTCTTTGGCAAAAATGTAAATTTCCAAGTTTACCGGTTTGGAATTAGTGTTTCTCTTCAAAGATCTTTGAGTAAAACTTCGAACTATGTCTATCTTGTAGATTTTGTCCGTCTTTATTTCTTGTTGTAACTTGCTTTGTTTGTAATTTTAGGTATTTCTACCTTCTTAATTTTTCTGTAACTTCTCTTTCAACTAAAAAATGATATAAAATTTAACATTAATAAATAAATAAAAAAACTGTTGAGTTTGTCAAAACTTAGATAGTGTTATTCAAATTTGTATAGGAGATGTCTACACAACAGAAACCGTTGGGAACACGAATCACAAACAATGGACACTTGACCTAACAGAAAAACGTCCAGAGACATCATTTTCATTTGATTCTCCGCAGAAATAAAAAACTGATCTTTGATGGCTAACTTTCAGTAAAAACCCAAAATGGCAGCGAACTCTGCTGCCTACGAAGCGATCGTTCGAGCAGGTCCTCGTCTAAACCAGCTTCAACAGGCTCACGCGCACCTCATCGTCACTGGGTATGGTCAGAGCCGGAGTCTCTTGACAAAGCTCATCACTTTCGCTTGTTCCGCTCGAGCCATCGCTTACACTCATCTTCTCTTCCTCTCCGTTCCTCTTCCCGACGAATTCCTCTTCAATTCCATCATCAAATCGACCTCCAAGTTGCGTTTACCTTTAGATTGCGTTGCTTACTACCGTCGTATGATATCTTCTAACGTCTCTCCGACTAACTACACTTTTACCTCCGTGATCAAGTCCTGCGCCGATCTCTCCGCCTCGAGAATCGGAAAAGGAGTTCATTGCCACGCTCTGGTTTCTGGGTTTGGGCTGGATACTTATGTGCAAGCAGCTTTCGTGACGTTTTACTCAAAGTGTGGAGATTTGAGAGCTGCACGCAAAGTGTTCGATAGAATGCCTGAGAAGTCGATTGTGGCGTGGAATTCGTTGATTTCCGGTTTAGAGCAAAATGGGTTGGGAGAGGAAGCGATTCGTGTGTTCAATCAGATGCGAGAGTCACCAGATTCAGCGACATTTGTGAGTGTTTTATCGGCTTGTGCACAAACCGGTGCGATTGGTTTAGGCTCTTGGGTGCATGAGTACATTGTCCGTGAAGGTCTTGACTTGAATGTTAAACTCGGTACTGCGTTGATCAACTTGTATTCTAGGTGCGGTGATGTTGGGAAAGCTCGAGAAGTGTTTGAGAAGATGAAAGAAACTAATGTGGCTGCTTGGACCGCAATGATCTCTGCTTATGGGACTCATGGAGATGGCAAAGAAGCAGTGGATTTGTTTAACAAAATGGAGGAAGATTACGGTCCAGTCCCTAATGATGTAACATTTGTAGCTGTTTTATCGGCTTGTGCTCATGCTGGACTCGTTGAGGAAGGACGTTCGGTGTACAAGAGAATGAGTGATAGTTATGGATTGGTTCCAAAAGTGGAGCATCATGTTTGTATGGTGGATTTGCTTGGACGGGCTGGGTTTCTGGATGAAGCTTATGGATTTATACATCATCTTGATGGTATAGGGAAAGCAACTTCTCCAGCGTTGTGGACAGCGATGCTTGGAGCTTGCAAGATGCATAGGAACTATGATCTCGGTGTAGAAATCGCCAAGCGGCTCATAGACCTCGAGCCGGAGAACCCTGGCCATCATGTCATGTTATCGAATATCTATGCTTTGAGAGGCAAAACAGATGAAGTATCACATGTAAGAGATGGAATGATGAGGAATAACCTTAGGAAACAGGTAGGGTATAGTGTGATTGAAGTCGAAAACAGGACGTATATGTTCAGTATAGGTGATGAGTCTCATCAAGAGACTGGAGAGATTTATCGGTATCTGGAAACTTTGATGAGCCGGTGCAAGGAAATTGGGTATGCACCGGTGTCTGAAGCGGTGATGCACCAAGTAGAGGAAGAGGAAAAAGAGTACGCACTTCGTTACCACAGCGAGAAGCTTGCTGTAGCATTCGGGTTGTTGAAAACTGTGGACGTAGCTGTAACGGTTGTGAAGAATCTGCGGATATGTGAGGATTGTCATTCTGCGTTCAAGTATATTTCTGTTGTATCCAATAGGCAGATCATTGTGCGTGATAAGCTTCGGTTCCACCATTTCCAAAATGGTTCTTGTTCATGTATGGACTATTGGTAAAGGACAAGATATAAACACAAGTGTTTCATTTTTATTATACAAAAGATGGTACATGGTGGTTCTTGCAAAGCTACAAACCCTTTGGTATTATACAAGATGAGCCTATTTTACAGCCTTTATTCTCACACATTTAAGTACAAAAACATATTCTACATGGGGACTGGGGAGGGAATTACCGATCTTGCAAACCAATATTGTACAACAGTAGTTTGGACGTTAGGGAGATGTTATAGTATCGTAACATTTACCGGTCTTTATGATTCCGGTGCAATCACTTGGCCGCAATCAACTCCAATCTCTGAGAATGCTTCGACAAGTTTTGGGTAGAGTTTGGAGAGCATGATCTTGAAACCGGTGGAATTTGTGGTTGAGCTCTCGTCCATGTTCGCTGAGGATCCTACAGGGACGCCTTCCATGTAAGCCTTGCACGCAGCCAGAACATGCTGGGCTCGGTTCGTAAAGTGGTCCTTAACAAGCATCTCAAAATGCTACAATGCCAACAATACAGAAGTTAATCTAAAAGGTCTCTTCATGTTGTGCTGAATTGTTGCAATAGAAACATACCTTTGGAGGCTTACGGAGTAGCGAGATCATGGATTTGCAGGTGATGAGGAAAGCATTCTCATTGTAACCCACTGAGTTTTTCTCTCCCTCGGCTCGGCCCAACTGCTTATCGTAGCCAGCTTCGTTGAAGTAAGGCTTCTCGTTCAGAACAAGAGCCTGAAAGGAAAGAAGTACTTGAAGGATGGAGGAGCTCCCTGGGTTCCATACTTCAGTGCCAGAGCCATTCCATGTATTCAGCAGACTCAGGCAGACTCTTCCTGACTCGTACAGGTTAGGATTCAGTCGCATCCCACCTGAATGATAATGCACCATCTGTATTCATAAAGGGATGTCATTTGTTTTAGTCCACAGACAGTTTTAAAAAAAACAACATTTCTAAGGAACAGAACTGGCGCAGAAAGAGAAGTCTTCACTGGTCCTCAAGAACACACATGTTTAAAAGCAAGAGAGAGTGATACAGAAGGTAACTCACTGGCGGCTCATGAGGATATTGAGGTGGAAGCATTATGTCGAAAAAGAAAAGACCATCGTGGTATGGTGTTCCAGGAGCACCAACTAGGGCTGCACGCAGAAGGTCCATCCTTTCCTCAAACACACGCACGTAGATTGTGTCTGTTCATCATCAAAAAGTCAAATTTAGTGATCTTATATTCAAACACAATATCAGAACATACAATAATCAAACAGATATTGAACAACAATTAGGAGTAAGAACTAACTGGGAAGATCTGCTTCCAGATTGCTCCATTCTTGCTGGACTTTCTTCACCCAACTCTTTGTGACCTATAAGAAGAGATGAATATGAGAAAAAAGTTTATTTTAGCTGATGTCAGAATGTTAAGTATTGGTCTAAGAGTCAAGAGTCATACCTGAGATTGTGCCAACTCTTTCCCTGAAGAAAAGAAATGATGGTCTGAGCAGTCATTAATCATATCAAACTGTTTGAATCTCACTAGTTTCCTGCTGCTGTCCAGCGGAGTTGAATCACGTGTCTTGTTGGTGCCTTTTCCTTCAATAGGTAAGCTGACCATCGTGGCGACATCCACTTCACTTGAATTTGATTCAGAGATGTCATCCAATTCTGTTGCTTCTTTAACATGGACCTCAGAGTCACTCTGATCTTCAGAATCATTGCAACGTGAATGCGAACTTATAACCGAAGTGGAACCATGAGAACCGAAAAGGCTTGATGCAAGGTTTGTGATAAATCCAATGGCAGCCTTTGGAAGGAAAAAGGAACTACACTCCGGAATGCTCTTGCTGCCGCTTTCACCAACACTGTAGAGCTTCACCAGACCCTGAACATACATGCATCAGATAAGTCACAAAGGATTAAGAAAAACTCATGGCACAAAAAAATCAATCCTACCAATGACACATCAGAAAGTTTTAAGTTAGCTCAGATGCTGAAGGGATTTGATTTACCGTTTCCTGATGGTTTGAAGATGCTTCATCTGATTGACTAATCTTCTGGTTTAGATCTTGAGCACTGCCTTCAGAACTTATAGTGCCAGAGTTGGAAAATTCAGACCTTTCCATCCTCCAAATTTCATATGGAGCAACCTGAAAAACAGATATTCAAGACAATTTTTTTAACAGGAAGCTAGAACCGTACTGCTACTACAACGGAGTAAACTTGTCAGCATATAATATAGTCTTTTTGAGGAACCAAAAGTAGCATAGTACATACCTTACTAGTAGAACCATTGGCCCATTTCACCTCCACGACACCATTTTTGAAGCCTGTAACAACACCAATGCTAGACAAACAGTATGCGCCACTGTAGCCACTCTCTGTAAGTAGGTGTTTCATCCCCGTAGCAACGATTTTGTCTGCATTTGGATCAATATTTCCTTCTGGAAGTAACCTGAACACTACATCGCTGAAACAGAATCCGAAATCAGGGTGCTCAAGCAGTTCATACGCACTGACAATTTCCTCCATCTGCTCACCAACACAACGCGTAGCTTCTTTCTCAACCAGTGTTGTCCATTGTACCATCACAGTCTGTTCCTTTGCATTGACAGCCTTCACAACTCCCCATCTTTTGCTGTTGCAAGTTTCCTTTTCCACAACAAACTGCTCAGGCCAAAAATCATGCGCATTAACAGCACCAACAGGAAGCAACTGTTGAGAATCAACTCCCAGAATGCAGCTACCATCTTGCCACATAACATCAACCTTCATCTTTGTCTTCGTAATAACAAAAAGCTCATCCGAACTTGAGCTCTGCATATTTCTGTTAAAACCTTTTTGGAATGTCGTATGGCCTTCGTTGAGATTGTAGGCGACCACGTTCGGAGTTTTCTGCTCTGCTATATCACAGTGAGGAGAGCCAGGGAGTATGCACCAGTCACCAAGCTGCCAACTTGCATGAGAAACAGATGGTAGCAAAGTTAAATTCTCAGGATTCTGCAAAGCTTGAGGTGTAGCTAACTTCTGATCACCCCCCATTACCATGGAGGCAAGCCAATCAACGTAGACAAGTCCTGCTTCTACAGCAGAAACAGTTCCAAAAACCTGGTTCTCTCTCCAGTTCCCGCATAACCATGTTGTTGATCTTGGAGCATGTGCAAGCTTTACCTGAACTCTCTGCCCAGGGTAGTACGAATACTGAGAATCCTCAAGCAAATTCGGAGGAAGAGCCACAAGTTTATCTTGATCGTTTACAAGAACCTCGTAATTGGAACCATCGTCAAGAGTGACAGAGACACGCTCAACTATCTTGTCAACTCTTCCAAGCCAAGGTCCGTTGATCACATAATCACAGAGTGAGATAGAACGCAACCTTTGAAGCCTCTTGGTATCAACTTCCTTGACGATCTTCCCATGAATGCTCTCGAGATTGACAGACATGTCAATGTTGATAACCCTGCCAGTCTGTCCTGATGGTTCAGTTGAGGACCGGACTATGTCGCCATACAGAAATCCCCTCTCGAACGACAAGAACTCGTCGATTTTGCCAATGGTCTCTTCAAGGTTTGAGAAGATGTTCTGTGCCCGTCCGCCGTAAGAAAACTCGGCTTCTTCATGTTCACTGCTACCACTGTCGCTGGAGCTATCCCAGTCAGAGTCAGTTAGTGCCATATCCATAGTTTTTAGATGCCTGCAATGGAACTGCAACTGTAAGACTCGGATAATGTCAAATGATTATGAAATGGTTATAAGAATTTCTGGAATTGTTCTGACCTTAGGCAAACTTGGATAAGAAATGGTGTAGCTTTCCTGATATGCACTAACAAAATCTTGAAACTGAAGCTGCGGACTGTGTGGTAAGATCTGCTCGACTAAGATAACAGGAGTCAACTGTAAGACTCGGATAATGCCAAAGGAGATTTGCTCTACTAACGAACGATAAGGTGAGCCAAAACTGAGTCTGACTCGGATAATGCCAAAGGAGATTTGCTCGAACTAGATAGAGATAAGGTGAGCCAACTGAGGACTCCGAACTGCCAAAGGAGATTTGCCCAACGAAAGGACTGAAGTATCCAGTTGGATTAAACTTCAAATGGGAACCCAAAGATGTAACTGTAGTTCCAAAATGCCAAAGGAGATATGCCCTAGAAAGAGGGTAGAAGGAGCTTCAAACCTCAAGCCACAGTGAAATGACTTGTATCAAAGCCACCTAATGGATGAAACTTCACTTCTGCTGCTGCTGCTTAAGTGTTTTCTTTGCCAAAGGAGGTTTGCCCTAAAGGAGCTAGAATCTAAAGTGTAGAATAGGAAACAGGAGAGAGTTCAAACAGATGAAAACAAGATCGGTCTCTTGACAATCATTCACGCGCCGAATTTAACACCAGTGTGTCAGTGAGACCAACATGATGAATCACTCGTTAATTGCTCATCAGAAGTAAACCAGATTTTCCTTCATCACTTAAGAATTTCCATCGAACCTGCAAAAAAAAGTGTCATTTTTTGCAAGCAACAGAAGCTCCAAAACAAATAGAGAAGGAAGCATGCGATTTGTATCCAATTTGGCAGTTTTTAACTAAGAAGAGAGCACAGAACAGAGAAAAGTGTGCTTTTTTAAAGCTCAAAAACTCATCTTCAGAACCATTCATTGCAGAACTTGCCATTTGGGCTCAGCATCAAGATTCAATACACAATCATCGCTAGATCATTTGTTGAACCGAGACCCAAACTGTCGAAACTAAGATTAAACAGATTCAATTTAAAGAGACCGCAAAAATCTCCTCTTTATCCAAAACACATGGAGAATCTCATCAAAGGTCTTAGCTTTTTAATTTGTAAATAAGTTTACAAGCCATACATACTTGAATTCTCTAAGAAGATTAGCAAAAGCTAAGAACTTGAGAGGACCCTTTCTCTTAATTCAACAAGAGATCAATCAAAGAAGTGAAACAAATCGGAGACATAGGCAGAGGAAAAAGGAGGAAACTTACCATAAGAAGCGGTGAGATTATATCAACTCGTCGGAAATTTTCTGTCAATTTCTCGCCTATTCCTCTGTGGGGTGAGGAAATAGTGAGAAACCCAGAAAGAAGCAGCGTAAATTATTCGCCTTTTAGTCCCAAGAGTCTATGACGCCATTAACGAACCTCCAAACCATTGGAAAAACCAAAACTTTACGCTTCTCTCTGTTTTTCTCTGCTTTGGCGTTCTCTCTGTTTTCTGTGAGGTGGTGCGTGTGAGAGTGGTTGGTTAGGTATCACATCGAGAGGAGAAGGCAAAGATATATTCGGTGGTGGAGACGGAAATGGAGAAGGAGAAGAGAATATACCAACAGTATCCCACACACAACTATACATCACTCTCCTTTTTCTTCTCCGCTTTTTCTCTCCTTCCTTTCCTTTTCCACCTCCACAAAATTTTAATATATAAAACTATATATAACCTGGAAAAAAAAAACATTAATTAATTATCGTGCTTAAAGTAATTTCTACTGTAGAGTAGTAAAAGTCAAAAGAAAACAAAGAAAGAAGATGCAGGTAAAAAAAGGAATACAGTGATTGTTTGGGTCTCAAACATGGAAAAACCACCAAACATTTTAACCAAGATAAACATATTTTAGAACTCGTATTGGTGCCTATAATCGATCCAATATTGGTGATTAAAAAAAGGCATTGTGATCCCGTGAAGAAACGGTGACTTATTCACCAATAACCACCAGTTGAGATCAGGGCCTTTATTATTTTCATAACCTTACTAATTGATTTTGCCCATATACTATGTTTTGGTTAGTAAAAGAAATTTAGGGGCCAAAATCAGTTGCAAAAAAATATTTATCGTCTGCCACCCGTCAATCATGCATTGGCCCTAATAAGTGCTTCCTATCCATATATAGTTTGATATTTTCTTTTTTTAGTTTGAAACCAGCTTTCTTCTCATAATGCTTATCACGGATTCATCAAACATAAATGATTCTGTTGGCTCTGTAATGGATTAAAGAAGTATACGGAGTATTTGTCAATTGAATAAAAGCGACTTTAATGTCTTCGGTTGACTATGCTCAGTGCCAAATGTCGCTATCTCCGTTTACTTCTTTAGCTCTGTAATGGATGGCACATGTTTCCTAACTTGTAAGCTAACTCAAAACTTTAATCAGTTCTAATTATAGTGAGGGTATCAGAATATTCCTTGGTACATTGCATGAACAAATACAATGCGTTTTCTTATATATATATATATATATTTTTTTTTTTGGCAGCTTACACTAAGACGAAAGCATTGTGGGGTGGTTCAAATTAACTTTGAATTATTGTTCTTTTTTTTCCTTGGTTGACCGAGTATTTTTTAGTATCATCATGATATTGATGTAAGTCTAGAAGTAACCAAGAATGAACACATGATATAACTTAATCGCTTAATTACTTCTAACTGAACAAAATCGTGTTTAGTGAGCTAACAAAAATTGAATTACTATTGTCTTTAATAGTTGTGCTACATTGACAGTTTGTGATAGCAACAGCCGAATATAACAAACAAACTCTAAGGTCAAAGAAAATATACGAGTGGGCTAATAGAAAAACTTGGATTGATTTATGACACGTGTAAAACCTGGACATTTTTGTTTGTTAGAGTTATCTGGATAAACTTTCTGAACGTGCGTTCCATGTATGCTATCGTATCACTACTCTATGCATGCAAAAGTCTGAATCCTCCTAGTTTTTCGGTTTTGTTGACCAAAATTGGTTAACTCTCCTAGGTTGCCAATAAACAAATACAGTACGTAGTTGATGACCTAACACCAAATAATAACCTAAGATCAAATAATATTTGTTCCATAACCCACAACGCAAAAACCCACGTTTTCTACGACTAATTCATCATATAGTAGTTGTGGATATATAAATGATAGTTCCAAACTTCCAAGAATTTGACTGAATTAAAGACTCTGTGTTAACATCGAAGCAAGTGGGTAAGAATCTTAACGAAAGTCTAAAATCTAATAATGCAAAATTTAAGGGAAAATACTAATTGAAAAAGTGGAAAGATTGTTGAACATGTTTATCCTAGTTGTAAAGTGACTTTTAGAACAAATTAACTATTTTAGAAGGGTCTTTGGAAAATGACTTGTTCCTAACTTTTCTTTACAAATTGATTTTCTTGCTTTTAGCTTTGTGTAGTGTGCCATATTTGTTTACGCACTTGACTCTTATGTCCTCTTCCTCTTCATTGGTGCCCTTGTACTCATCCGAAAGAGTAATCACACGTGTCGTGGGATGAGAAAGTTTTCCCTTTTCAACATATTTTTACTAGAAGCAATTAGTGAAAGCACAAATACGGTTCACAAAACTTTACATTTGATAAAAACCCTAAATAAATCACAAGTATACGTACTAAGAATTACCAATTCATAGAAAAAGCAACAAAGTATGAAACTGTAAGCAAAATGTTGATAAACGCATTAGCATTCAGTTATCTCACCATTTCTAATAACTTCTGAAAAATCAAGGGCTACTGATGCAGTAGTAGATCACAAACTGGGACGGGGTTTTCTCTACAAAGAAATATATTACTAGAAACTTCTTTAAGATAACTTACAAGTATATGCTTAAACGAACTCAACAATCACAATCTATCCACGATCTGGTTGCTGTTCTAGTAACTCTCACGTTCTCAGATCTATCCACGATCTTTGAACCTCTCAAACCCTAGCCCCCATTGTCCTAGCTTTCTTACAAGAAATCTAAACCCAAATATGCTAAAGCTCTCAAGTTTGTGATAGCCGCTTACAAGCAGCCAAGGTCCTCTATTTATACTCAATAGACAAACCGCCAAACCCTACAAGGTTTGTGTCTTGGTGATTACTCCAAATCTCCAAGGGAATATTTCCTTTCCTTATTTTTCTCTAAGAATAGAAAATATTCTTTTGTCTTGATAGCCGCCTACAAGCAGCCAGAGCACCCTATCTATCCACAATAGGCGTGCCTAGAAACCCTACAAGGTTTCGGTCTTGATGATTGCTCCAAATCCTCAAGGGAATATTTCCTTTCCTTATTTTTCTCTAAGAATAGGAAATATTCCTTTTGTGTTGATATCTCCAACTCTCCTCATCCAGCTCAGCGACCGCCTCTTCTGGATTCGTCCTTATCCGCTACAAGCTCGCATCCAGCTCAGCAACATTCCTTTAGCTCCGTTAAGCTCCACTTAGCTCCGCTACAAGTCCGTCCATACGTCCTGATGCACTTCCTGACTGATTCACGATCTGCGTCAAACCAGTTGCATCTTCAATCTCCCCCTTTTTAGCTTTGTGTCTCTCAAGCACCTGTAAAACTCAAAACCACAGTGCATATACCAGAGATGACCAGAATACTGGGATGATCTGAATACTTCAACATTAGTCATAGAAATATTAAACATGATTCAGAACAAAGTTAAATCCAAAAGATCAAAGAACTTTCAACTCTCAACTCCCCCAGAATTCTAGATCGAAAACTACTCAAAACAATGCAAACAAGATCAAAAGTCTTGCTCCCCCACAATTCTAGCTTAGATCCTAGTTTTCGTTCTCTGATACATCATATTCTCCCCCTGCTTGTGAGCACACACAAGTTAAAAACACAAGATGGATAAACAGATTGAAATAGATTGTGCAGAAGGACAACTTACCTTGCAGATTGACGATGATCAGACCCTGAACTATGTCAGTGAAACTGCGAAGGGACCTGTTTCCTGAAGAACTCTCTTGTTCCTTAGCACGAGAGAAACATCTGCATCACTCTGTTCTTCAACACTCTGAGCATATTAAGTCTGAGTAAGAGCGGATGACAAAACCTCTGGCGCTGTATCAGATGGCGGATCAATCGATGGCTGCTTCTCGATTTGAGAAGACTACTTCGTTGTAGTTCGAAACGGTTGACCTAGTTGAAGTTCATCAAGAGACTCTGTTTCGCGAGCTTCGTCGAGAGGGTGAAACGGCTGGTTATGGATCTGACAGAGACATTGATGCGTCGTTCTGTTGTACATCCGGCTCTGCTGGTTCAGAAACACCATCGGCGGTCACTACCAGAGATGTAGTGGTCGCTACTTCAGTCGCTTCGTCAGGCGACGGCAGTGCTTGGAGATTGCTGGCTTGTAGATCTGACGGCTGTTTCAAAACACCATTTAATCGGAATCAACATAAATCAGCCGGATTAATTTGGTTTAGAGACCCAGAATCCCTGTTTGATTTCCTGCAACACTTAGCACCAATATCAGCAGTACAGCACAAGGACCCAAAATTGTGACAACCACATAAGATTCGATTCAAGATAGAATCCAAACAAGCAATACCATCCCATGTGTCACATCTTTTCAGCTTAAAAACATTTTTACTCAGTTTATCTCAAATTAAATACCTTTCATTTTAGCGAAGGAGACATTGACTGAGTCGGCACTTGCATCAGGATGTATTACAAATTCTCAACAGATTCATAGCGCTTGGCCATCCTGATTCCAACCTGCAGCTTTCACTTTGTCATACCCAGATCATATCACCACCTCTAATTCCAATGATGTGCAAAGTGAAACTCTTTATTTTGTTCAAGGCAGAACATGTGATCATTCTCTGTCGTTGGATGTTGTTCTTGTGAAACATTACCCTTCGAGAAAGCTCATGGACCAACTCAGCCTTGTGAGCTATTGTTGTCAGTCCATCCCCTTTCCAATTAAGCTCTTAGTTCTGTCGTCAGACTTTGTTCTTGTGAAACATTGTCTTTCGAGAAATCACATGAACCAACTTAGCCTTGTGAGCTATTGTTGTCAGTTCATCACATTTCCTGTTATGCTCATTGAATCACTTTTTGGTTCTTGAAGCAGCAAGCCATCTCCATCATATTGCATTCATTTGGAGTTGGCTCAGCTGCTTTTTGACCTTGAACATGCTTTTAGAATCACTTACTTTTCACTTTTCTTATGTTGAGGTGACATGACGGCATGACAAAGTAGCTGATCCTCATTGGCACCTTTGACTCCAAACAAAATCTGAACTTGTTATACACCCCGAGCCAGTGCCTGTATCAGCCCCTGCATCATTCAAAACCACTTGTGCAAATTCCAATGGAATTTCTTAAGGTGACAAAACGGTTAAAGTCCAATGGTTTTGTGAATAAATCAGCGAGCTGTAAATCTGTGACAACATGTTCAAGTACTACCTGTTTTTCTTCCACCAATTCACGAACAAAGTGGTGTCTTATGTCAATGTGCTTAGTCCTTGAGTGCTGCACCGGATTCTTTGATATGTCAATGGCGCTTTTGTTGTCACAGTAGACCAAGAAGGGTCCAGACTCCATCCCATAATCGGCTGACATCTGTCTCATCCATATAAGCTGTGTGCAGCAGCTTCCCAATGCAATGTACTCAGCCTCTGCAGTAGATAGTGACACAGAATTCTGCTTCTTGCTAAGCCAAGCAATAAGATTGTTCCCAAGGAAGAAACAACCTCCACTTGTGCTTTTCCGATCATCTGCACATCCTGCCCAATCGGCGTCACAATATCCAGCAAGATTTCTGTTGGATCCTTTGGAGTAAAAGATCCCCAGATTGACAGTTCCCTTGACATACCTCAAGATCTTCTTCACCGCTTGAAGATGGGACTGTTTTGGTTTGGCCTGATAACGAGCACACACACCAACGCTGAAGCTTAAGTCAGGCCGACTTGCTGTAAGGTAAAGCAAGCTTCCAATCATTCCTCTGTATAGCTTCACATCAACATCTTCTCCTTGTTCATCCTTTCCAATCTTTGTCGTGGTGCTCATTGGTGTTCTTGCCTCCTTGCATTTGTCAAGACCAAACTTCACCAGTAGATTCTTGGCATAGGTGCTTTGAGAAATAAAGATTCCTTTCTCAGTCTGATTTACTTGAAGTCCAAGAAAGTACTTCAATTCTCCCACCATGCTCATCTTGAACTCCTTTAGTCATACTCTTCACAAAGTTTTCCACCAGCTTCTCTGAAGTTCCTCCAAAGATGATATCATCTACATAGATCTGCACCATCATCATCTCATTCTTCCTTCTCAAGTGTGAACAGAGTTTTGTCCACAGTTCCTCTGACGTAGCCTGTGTCAATCAGAAACTTCGTCAATGCTCATACCAAGCTCTTGGAGCCTGTTTCAGTCCGTAGAGAGCTTTCTTGAGCTTATACACATATCAGGATGCGTAGGATCTTCAAATCCCTTCGGTTGCTACATATACTTCCTCTTGTAGAATGCCATTCAAGAAAGCACTCTTCTTACATCCATCTGATACTTGAAGTTCAATATGCATGCCATCCCTAGAACAGTCTGATAGACTCAAGACGTGCTACAGGGGCAAAGGTTTCATCAAAGTCGACTCCTTCAACTTGTGAGTAACCTTGCGCAACAAGTCTTGACTTGTTTCGTACAATGCCAGCATCATCTGTCTTGTTCTTGAAGATCCATTTGTACCGACCACATTCACACCATCAGGTAGTGGCACAGTTCCCATACATCGTTTCTCACGAACTCCTCTAGTTCCTCTTCCATGGAGATGATCCAATCTGCATCTTCCAGTGCTTCAAGGTGGATTTCGTGGCTCTATGGTTGACACAAAGCATTCAAATTGAATAATTGCCATGCTGACCATCTGCTTGTAAGTTCATCTTGATTCCTCTCGTCCTTTCGTGGCTCAGTGATGTCTCCAATCAGATCACTTGATGAGTGATTTCTATGAACTTGAGTCACTGGGTGTTCTACGGCAACCACGTGTCAGGACTGTTCAACCTTCTCGTCATCCTCAGCTTGTCTTGGAATTCTTCATGTCTTCAGCTCGTTCTTCAACCTTCTCTTCTCCTGCTTGTCTGGATTGTCTTCTGCTTCGCTGCCTGGGTTCTGGATCATAATACATTGGAGAGTCTCCCATAATGCCGCAATTGATCGATCATCAAAACACATTGACCGACTCCATAATCATCTTGGACCGAAGATTGAAGACTCTGTAAGCTGAACTATTGCCTGAATAACCCAGAAATATGCCTTCATCACTCCTTGAGTCGAACTTTCCAAGTTGATCCTTGTCATTCAGAATATAACACCTGCATCCAAAGACACGAAAGTAACTTAAGTTAGGTGTTTTCCTTTCCACAACTCATAAGGTGTTTTGAGTAAAGCCTTTCTCATGTAGACACGGTTGATGATGTAGCATGCGGTGTTGATTGCTTCAGCCCAAAACTTCACAGGAATGTTTCCTCCATGGATCATTGCTCTCGCCATTTCCTTGAAGTGTTCTGTTCTTTCGCTCCACTACTCCATTCATCTGTGGTGTTCTAGGCGCTGAAAATTGGTGAGCTATGCCTTGTTCATTGCAGAACTTAGTCATGACCTCATTCTGAAATTCTCCCCCATGATCACTGCGTATGCGCTTGAGGCTTCCTTTCTCAGTGATGACTTGAAGAGCCCAAATCTTGAAACTCGCCATGGTGTCAGATTTGTCACGAATGAAGCGACCCAAGTGTATCGCGAGTAATCATCCACTAGAACAAAGACATAGCGTTTCCTGCAATGCTCTCCACTTGCATTGGTCCCATAAAATCCATGTGTACTAGTCCAAAACAGTCTTGGATTGTACATCTGGCACCTTCTTGTGCTGGACCTTCATTTGTTTCCTTGATTGCATGGACCACACACGATTTTCTCACATCCCTTCAGTTTTGGAACACCACGAACAATCTCCTTATTCACCAGAGTGGTAAGATGTCGAATATTCATGTGACCCAATCGTTTGTGCCATAGTTCAACATCATCTCGCACACTTAGGCATTTTGCAGATTGATCCCACATGTAGCAGTTGTTGCCTGAACGAACTCCTCGTAGACTGCTTTCCGTCAGCATCAATGGCTTTACATCTAGCTTGTTGAACCACCGTTAAACCTTCATCGCATAGTTGGCTGACACTGATCAAATTTGACTTTAGACCTTGGACAAGATAGACATTCATAAGTTGTGGCTGCTCCTCAGATGTTCGTCCTTTGCCTTGAATAGTTCATTTGGTTCCACATCCAAATGTCACCTTTCCTCCTTTTAACTGCTTCACATCCTGCAGATTTTCTTTCATGCCAGTCATATGTCTGGAACAACCGCTGTCGAAGTACCACGTTCCTGTGTTGTCCACCTCATTGCTTTCTTCAAATAGTGCCATATTGGAGCAGAATCGCTGTCTTGTACCACCTGGTGCTGTACGTCGAGCAGGATTCTGGTAAAGATCAGTCTTCTGATGAAGACTTGGTTCAGTCCATGATTCCAGTAGTAGCGTCCTTGTCTCCAGGCGTGATCAACTCTAGCACAAAACTTGTTGCAGAACGCCTTGATATGACCCACAACTCCACAAAAATAGCACTGTTTCCCTTGATGTCCTCTGTGGCGATGTGATGCTCTAGCATTACTGACTTTCTTAGCCTCATATCCTAATCCCATGGTGGTCTTTCCTCGATTTTCACTCCTTAGGATGGGATCAGGTTTATGTGCGGATGATCTAGTCTCTGCTTGAACAACATCTTGAGCTATTCCTCCAGACACGAAAGTGACTGTCTTGCCGGTTGATCCACTTCCTGTTGAGTATCCCAGACCAAGATTTGACTTCCCAACACGACCAAGACTCAGGATCTTGTCGAGTTCCTTAGTTCCAGTCAACATCTTCAGTTGCTTTCGATGTTGATCTAACTCAGCTTGTAGACTCCTGGAGTTCTCCTTCTCCAAAAAGTACTCTTTGGTGATGTCATCTGCTCGTTTAACCGCTTCCATCTTTTCCAACATGATATTGAGATTATCCATGTTGAGATCTTTTTCCGCTTGAAGTGCCTTCTGAAGTTCTCCAACCTTTTCTTCAAGACGAGCATTCTCCTTTTTCAATTCGAGATTCTCTTTCCCGGTTTCAACCAAAGCATCACGAACTTCTTTAAAGCTTTCGTAGATATCAATCTCAGATTCTTCATCACTGGACGAGTCTTCGGTATCTGATTCAGATGCTTTTCTTTCTTCCACAAAATCAGAAATTCCGGCAAGGGCTATGAAGTTACTGATTTCTTCATACCCATAGTTTCCTGCATCAGGTATCACTTTTGACCTTCCCATGAAGTCCGGGTGATAGCCCTCTATTCCGCAAGATCTCACCTGCTATAGCAATACACACAAGGTGACTGCTCTGATACCAATTGAAAAACCAAGGGCTACTGATGCAGTAGTAGATCACAAACTGGGACGGGGTTTTCTCTACAAAGAAATATATTACTAGAAACTTCTTTAAGATAACTTACAAGTATATGCTTAAACGAACTCAACAATCACAATCTATCCACGATCTGGTTGCTGTTCTAGTAACTCTCACGTTCTCAGATCTATCCACGATCTTTGAACCTCTCAAACCCTAGCCCCCATTGTCCTAGCTTTCTTACAAGAAATCTAAACCCAAATATGCTAAAGCTCTCAAGTTTGTGATAGCCGCTTACAAGCAGCCAAGGTCCTCTATTTATACTCAATAGACAAACCGCCAAACCCTACAAGGTTTGTGTCTTGGTGATTACTCCAAATCTCCAAGGGAATATTTCCTTTCCTTATTTTTCTCTAAGAATAGAAAATATTCCTTTTGTCTTGATAGCCGCCTACAAGCAGCCAGAGCACCCTATCTATCCACAATAGGCGTGCCTAGAAACCCTACAAGGTTTCGGTCTTGATGATTGCTCCAAATCCTCAAGGGAATATTTCCTTTCCTTATTTTTCTCTAAGAATAGGAAATATTCCTTTTGTGTTGATATCTCCAACTCTCCTCATCCAGCTCAGCGACCGCCTCTTCTGGATTCGTCCTTATCCGCTACAAGCTCGCATCCAGCTCAGCAACATTCCTTTAGCTCCGTTAAGCTCCACTTAGCTCCGCTACAAGTCCGTCCATACGTCCTGATGCACTTCCTGACTGATTCACGATCTGCGTCAAACCAGTTGCATCTTCAACTTTAACTTTCATTGGCTATGACTCCCTACAGTTTGATAACTTTGATTCAAACATGTTCACAAGAAACGTTAATGCAACAAGAAGTTTATATGCTTGGACAAAGTGATCAAGTTGCATTCAACTCAGCCTAAATGAAACATCTCTAATCATCATCATCCTACCATTGACCATGCTTGATCCAAAGTCTTATCTAAGACCCAATAAAAGACTCATCGCACAGAGTCTAAGGTAAGAATGAGATATTCTTCTTTAGTTGTCAGTTGTCACATGGAGCTAGGTAGAAATCTTCATCAACGGTTGCTTACAAAACTCAAGATCCAAAAGAGTTAAATAGAGGTAGAAGTCTACATGCTTGATATAGCAAATTAATTTGAATTTGGTAGACCTAGGACAACTGAATTCGATATCATGCGTATTATATTGTTTTACGTATTTTTATGTTATTCAAAGGACGTACCAAACAAAAATATCTCATGAAAGATAAACACTTCCTCTTACAATAGAGGGAAATTAAAAAAGTTTAACTTTATATATATGATTGATGATGTCAATCTAAAATTATGTTAAGATAACCTTGTACACCAAACACATGTGACGCGATCTGGTTCTGATTTATACATATGTGTGTATGTATATCAACATAAAGAATTATCACGTACGGCCGGTTATGTCTTTTATCGAGAGAATGAAACTATATAAGAAAATATATCTATTTTATTCAGATATGTTGTATGTTGTACTACTACGGTGGTAAAAAATTAAAAACTGTTCTGATTTCTGCATAACAACGATAAAAAATGAGATTTGGGCCAACTCACACCAGATTAAATACATTAACCATTTCATAAATTAAAATTGATTAAAAGTATTGTTAAAATGCAAGGAACTGTTCACAAAAGGCAGCAATGATTAATTATTCAGCAGCAGCCATGCTTTTGCTTTATACATTACATATACGAGTGTGTGCACATCTATAGATCTAACCAAGTGCATAGAATAATACGAGTGCGGCAGATTGTGAAGGAAAGTGGAGAAACTATTGTGACAACAGATTCCATTAACACAATGATTTCACATTTTTATATTACCATTTTTTATCTTATTGTGCAACTTTGAATGGACACAAACTCTGTTTATTCATTTATTTACTTTGGTGGGAAAGCTCTTTACGTTACCCACCACTTGGTCTTTGTGGACCGTCGATATTGCTTCATTTTATATAAATTGTTCCATTTTATCTCTTAACTAGATTCTTTGATAATTCAAATATATGTAGCTATGTTATGCACTTTCCTAGCTACTACTATTTTTAGACATGAACTCTTGTGGTGTCATTACTCTAATATTTCACACAAATACTCATAGTCATATCTTATAACATCGTCTCGATCGTCTGCATATATCAAACAAACTATAATTCGATGAAACTCGGGCAATAAAGGATTCGCTTACTTTATGATTCGATGTCCAGTTACAATGTTCATTAAGAGATATTGCTTTTTGAATCCTTTTGAAATCAAGTAACCAAGTAATTCTTCTTAAGCTGTCCCTGGTGATCTTGCATGCAAAGTAGCGTTTCTGTTACTTCTTGATGAGCTCGACTGTTTGTCTCTTCCCCGCGTTTTAGGCGGCGTTATGCTCACGACTTGACTCACATTCGACAACTTTCTAGGCAACTCGCTGCTGATCAGTGACGGCGGAGGAAGAATGGCCACTGGAGCTTGTTTCTTCTTCAACTTCTCTTGATCTACTCGATGATATCTCTGGCATTGTTCATAATTGAAAAAAAAAAAAAAAAAAAAACACTAAGCCTGATTTTCTTGCAAATGCTCATGCTACACCATTAGACTTGCTTTATAATTTCTTTATTTTGAAACTTTCCCTGTATATTGAAATATTATCTTAATACATAATATGGGCCTTGAATCCTTTCTATGGTTTTAGTATAGTTTGGGTCTTTGGACCTTTCTTAATCTTTTTAGTCTTGACTTTAAACCTCATTTTTTGGCTACTTGAAATTATGACTTTGACACAAAAGTTAGGCCATTTTGATACTTTTTGTGAATGGAAAATCCTTTGAATGAAGAAAAGAATAATTACCTGAAACACAAAGTTGCGTCTTTCGCAGTCAAGAAACATGCTCACATTCCATTTTGTTTTAGCAGAAATCTTGTCTCTTACTGTTGAGAAACTGATTTGATCTCTAGAAGTGAAACGATCAACTTCATTGAACCAAAGGCAAGTAAATAGATTGCTAATTGGAACATGCTCTCTTAAAATGACACATCCTTCTGGTATATCTGCAAATGCCAACCATACAAGTCATTAAAATGTTAAAAGACAAATTTCAGATTATAATGCTAAGAAAACATTTATCCATACCGCTTGTGATTGGCAGCTTTGCAGTAGAGTAAGGTGTTAAACCTTCCTTCTTGTAGAAATCCACTTGAAAATCTATAGACGCATTAGCATATTTACCAGCAGCTTTATTAGCTTCAGCTTCCACAAACACATCAAAACGTTTGTAATGTCTAGAGATCGCAAACGTGACATTTGCCCTCCACAAGAACCTAAAATGAAAAAAAAAAAGTCAGATTATGGCGTCACAGAAACAGTCTTCAAGACTAGTAAGTTTATTTTAACCTCTCAAGAATTTGATATGGATCCACCATAAGGTCCAACTTTCCATCAATCCATATTGAATACCGCGAATTTGGAAACAGCCTATGGACAAGAAGCTTCGGCACCTTCAAGAAGAAAAAAAATTCATAAACGATCATATACAAATGATACAGAAAATGTTATATAATTTTGTGTACCTTTCCATTGCGTCTTCCATCAGTGTAAGGAAGATTATGAACAACAACAATTCTCCATAATCCTACTTTCTTGGTGGTTCTATTAAAGCCTTTGTCTTTCTTCAAGCTTGATTCTGTTTTCTCATCAATAAACATGAAGAAGCAAACCGTTTGCTCCGAATATTTACTTATATTGCTTGGACTCTTCACATCATCAAAAGCATCTGAAAAAAAAAAGTAAGAGAAATTCTTCATCAGAAATCATAACAAAAAATAAAATAAAAGACCAAAAACACCAAGCAAGAGAAGGATTAAGGAATTACCAAATACTGTTGAAGAAACAACTATCCCTCGACACCGTTTCATTGCAAGAATATCAGTCTTAGCGATATCGAATCCTGTTCCTCTTCCAGGTTCAGGTCCTTTGACAAATCTTGTAAATAGCATTGTGGTAATATATATTAGTCAAGAGAGAAACGAGAATCAAGAACTCAAAAGATGCTAACTTACTTACCCGCAATGCACACTCATGGATGATTTGATGTTAAAAGTTCTTCTCCTTTGTTTCAAAGTTGGATAACCACCAAAATCTGACCCTCCAAACTCTGTCTTCCGGTTTAGTGGATTCTCATGTATAAATGTTAAATTCTTGAGAATAGGAGAAAACGAAGGTGAGCTTGGCATCAAAGCAATTGCTTCTTCTAGTGGAAGGTAACAAACCGGACATGCTGGAAAAAAAAAATCAAAAACCAGCAAGAACAATTTGAGAACAAATCTCTCAATGCTTTGGTAACGTAAGAAACAAGAAAGAGATATTACGGCGTGGTCCGGTTCTTTTTTTGTCAGCTGGTGGAGGAGGTAAAGTGAATCTGTTACAAGGATGGTCTTGAGGAAGTGTGTATCCATGGAAATATGGAGGAGGTCGAGGTCGATACGGTTTAACAGGTTTACCCACGTAAGATAGATTATTATGTATATTGCTTATTTGCTGTTTATTTGTAATGCTATTGATATGTAAACTCCGAGGAACTTGAATTTTTTGAGCATCTTCACCTGATTGCAACCAACAAGAAAGACAAGTTTTTGGGGAAGAATCAGAAACTTGAACAAAAATTCACCTTTTGGTTTCCCTAAAGACTCCATAGAAGCAGATCCATATACCATTTTTTTTTAAAAGTGTATATTAATCAAACTATTATTTTGTAGTTTAAGTACTTATCAAACTTTAGCAAAGAAATCACCATAACGACACAACGATCAAAGAAAGTATATGTATATACCTTTCCAGATGTAAAGTAGTCGACCGAAGACGAGAGTGGAGATTAAGAAGAGAGTCAAGAAACCCATTTTACGTCGTCCTGCGAATTTGAAGATCCAATGAACAATATATTCCTTTTCTTTCTGCATCTTAGATAGCTTTGTACGAGTTGTTGTGATCGTCTGGATAGGCAAAACGACGCCGTTGAATTCCATCTTTTTTTCCAAAACCAACGACTCCGTTCCCGCCTCAATTCAGATCAAAACAGCCGTTAGCTTAAAAATGAAATATGATTAGTTTTCTGAATTCAGTGTTTTATTTTTCTAGGATTTGTGACTGGTAGATATAATAATATTGATACATAAGAATTTCGAAATCAAGGGAGTCTCTCTTTATTACCAGGAAAGTTGAAACAGTACTTTTAATTACGATATTCATTAAAAGCAAGATTAGTTATCTGTTTCTTCACTTAACTAACGCTTTAATATGTAAAATTAAATATAGCAAAAGAGACCAACTACATACGGAAGAAAAGAATACGGTTTGGGAAATTCCGAAAATTTTAGTTTTACTTTCACGATACTAAAAGGTAAAAATCATTTTAATTTTCAATTGATAACAATTTTCTAATTTCTCAAGTTCAACTACGTTTAATTACAGAGTTTTCACATAATAAGTTTTTTTTTATAAAGTAGTTTTCTCATAATAAGTTGCATAGTATTCTTCTCTTCTTAGTTCTTATAGTGTGATTAAGATAAGAATCCTACTTTTTTTTAACAAGACAAAAGAGTTATGAACAACTGGATTTTGGAGTAGAACCGGTAGGTTACTTAGATATCACACTCCAAATTTAAATTAGATTTTTAATGCTCAATGTTTTGTTCTTCTTTTGAGTTGCAATGCCTACTCATAATCTTCACGATGTTTTTAGGAATTAGCACAATCGTGGCATTATAAATCACACCGAATTATAATTATTTGGTTTCCTAGACTAACTATGTTGTCATATTATTATTTCTTATAATTATTTTGAGAAAACTTAGTTGTTATATTTTACGTATACCTTCTTTGTCACATTCGTACTTTCGCTACAATACATAAAGGTAAAAGTGGTTTGTTTCGGCTAAAAACTAAGTGGTTTGTTTAGATCACTAAGCGGCTTTAGTGGTTTGTTTCGTTTGTTAATGATGGAGTAAAAGTGTGCAAGTAATTCAACATAATCTTTTTTTGTTAAACGACAATCTCAGGTTAAATACCAAACAATAAAAATTGGGTTTTTTTTGTTTATCGTTGTAGGCGTCTACGGGTGACTAATGATGATTGAAATCGCAATAAAAATTAAAAAAAAAAAAAAAACTAATAATTTAGCGAAGAGAAACATTTAGAGTGAACACTTTAACTAATGACTAACCACTTAAAATTTGTAACTATACATCATCACTCTCTATCTCACATCCATTTATTCTAACCAACTACACAAACGGACACCCACTAATTATGAGCCAAAAACCTTCTCTTCTACGTTTGTTTCTTTCTATTTCTTTCCACCGTTCCACTTCAATAAGCATTTTCTTATTTTCACATGTCCACCCAAAATTGGCAAAATAACTATTTAAGGAGACACCTATTGAAGATGCTAAAAAGCTATTAAATATTTGCAGAAACCTTTTAACATCATATACACTCCAATACAACAATTTCGGACTTTGCTTCCAGGCATCTATAGATCATTTGAAGAGTGCAATACTACAATCTAAACGACTTATTTCGAATACCTATAAAAACAGAAGGTCCAATGTTTTCTAACTGTTTTTATTCCCTGAGAGCCCGACACTCTATCAATTGTCTTTCTAAAGATTGTAACGAAATTTGTCACAAAACACATAAATATATAAACCTTTTTTTTTTTTATAAAAGTAAATATATAAACCTAGCCCCTTAAAAAGAGGCATGTCAGGCGAAAAATTAAATAATTTATACGTTTATAATATTATGGTTCTGCACCGAATACTAGGCTGAGGCATCTTCTTATCTAGAAGAATCAACTTGGTTTGAAAAGCATTCAAAAAGAAGAAACGAATAAAGGAAACCCAAAAAGAAACTGGAATTTAGAATAAGGAAGAGAAAAAAAAATATACCAGTAGCAAAAGCTCACATATAAAAGGCAGATATCGATGCATTGTTGATCCAGTTCCAAATCAAGATGAAGTTTCTGTTTCAGCTGCCTTGTTGCTCGTGCTTCTGTTTCGTCAAGCCAAAGAAGGGGAAACACAAGGCTGGAGAGACAAAGAAGGAGTGATGAGAAAGCATCTTCAAAGAGAAAATAATTTTATGTTTTATTGATCTTTGTGGTGTCAATTTTATGTTCTTATGTGCCCTCTACTTGGATTTCATCAAAAGAAGGCAATATATATAACATTAATTTAATATCTTCATCTTGGTTTATATTTATCACTTCGGTTAGATTATAATTAATATCTTCATCTTGGTTTGGAGTACTTCTTAAACGTCTTCTACAATATCTTTCTTTAAACAAATTAACACTCATATTTTCAACATCTTTCTTGGTTTATATTAATTAATGCATTATGTCGAGTTTAAAGTCGAGTGATAACTCGATGACAACATAGATAAATCTTTGAACTATATGTGCTGATCCACATATTTACAAATGTTTCATGTTTGTACCAACATAAATATGTAAAATAGACACACCATCCATGCTGGAAATAACTCCTCAATTAGCCCTTAGGCTTACAAGCTAATTCGAAAACTTTAATTAATTGAATCTCTCCTTACAAAATTGGATACCCGATCAAAGAGGAGTGCCACATATAAAATTAACAAATTTTAAACTAAGAAATGAACAACGCCAATCAACAGAAAAATGTAACCTAAAAAAAGGGCCAGCACTTAAAAAACAATATTAACAACCACAAAAATAAAAACCCAAACCAACACTCTGTCTTCTCCTTTTTTATCCTCAACAAAAGCATCCCTCAATTGTTCGTCTGCAATATCACTTCTATTTCTCCCTCCTTTCACAAGGAAGGGCGTAGAAGAATCCACCATTTTAATTCTCTAACCATAAAAAAAAAACCTTTAAATCCCATCATCAAACAAAAACAAATAAAACCAAATGGCTATCAAGTTCTTGTTGATCCTTGGTCTCTTGACCCTGGCCGTAGTCGCTGAATCAGCCAATGCTACATGGACCTTGACCAAATCTTGTGTCAATGGCCAAGGTTGCATTGGTGACGAAGATGGCCTTGAGTCCTTGATGGATTCTGAGACCAACCGGCGCCAACTAGCCGCAAGACGTAGCTACATCAGTTACGGAGCACTCAAGAAGAACAATGTGCCGTGCAGCAAACGTGGCCGGTCTTACTACGATTGCAAGAAGAGGAAGAGGGCTAACCCTTACAGACGTGGATGCAGCGTCATCACGCATTGCTACAGGCAAACTTCTTAATTTTAAGAAGCACATATACAAACCAATATGATTAAAGAAGCGAGAGGGCAAAGAATGCAAAAACAAAAAAGAGATCACTACTTTCTTCTACGTACGGTTCTTGACTCTTTTTTAATCTTGATATTGCCCCTTTTTTCTCTTAATTAACTTTAATTTTCAGTTCTTTTTATTTTTCCCTTTTATTCATAATCATTATGCATATACGCTCATTTCATATGTTGTTGTTATTTTATATTTCTCGGCAAATTGTCGTGTTTAATTTATGTCTATAAATAAGTGTTGTTTCTATACCTTGTGATATATATTATATAAACTTGTATGTATAAATGCGAGAGAAAATGGACGTAACAATGGAATAGTTGACGCTGTTTAGTTTGTCATCTTCAAACAGACGTTAGATTGTATTTACACGACCTTTAATATCACCATCCGATACGAGCACGAGCTCTAATTGTATTATCATGCAATCAACAAGTGGTCGCAAGCTATATCTTATTCTGATTTAAAAGTAAAAGTCGTATCTAAATTTCGAGACTCTTAAATTATGTCATGCAATATGGAAAAGGAAAAAAAGGTTGTCAAAGATTTATTTACTATTTAATTTACTCTTCCATAGCTAATTAAGAGTGACGAGGCAAAACTAAATGGCGTAAAACAAATGACATGAGAAAGCAAAATTACATTTCCAAATCGTGTAGATTTTTTTCTATCCTAAATTTCCTTCAAATGATTCCAAATGTCATAATTAATATTGTTAAACATATGGATTTGAATCGAAGAAACCATTTCAGAAATGAACTCAACGACATATACACAACTCAAAAGTATTCTACTTTCTTGTCAAGAAAATAAAGCTTTTGTGTTGTCTCCTTTCTGCCACTCCTTTTTTCCCATCTCAATTTCTTCACTCCTTTAAAAAAAAAAAATCCTTTTCATCGGGCAAAAGTAAAGGATCACCGGCAAAACATACTTTTAAGTTAACATTGAAATCCTTTTTCCCATCTCAATTTCTTCACTCCTTTTTAAAAATTACTTTTAAGAACAAACCGTTCTTCATGTGTTCAATTGAGCGTCGTAGAACAAAACCTATCAAGAATGAATAAATCAAGCAAAACTTGAACAAGTTTATAAAGACAATGTGAAAAGAAGAGAAGAAAACATAATAGATATTAGTTAGCGATTGCATCGCACTTTTTTTTCAACAATAATTCTCATTTGATTAAGGAATGAATAAAATCAAAACACATTTCCAAAACATAAACTCACTGAATGAAATAAAAAAGCTAAAAAATGGGAAAAGACAAATAAGAGTTTAACAGCTAGATAGAGGCGTCGACGACAGATTCTGAAGCTCGAGGTGAAGTCACCGGAAAGAGAGCGAGAAGTCGGGGCTCCGAATCCCTCGGAGTCGTCGACGGCGACCGGTGCAGATAAAACCCTTTCTCTTTGATCGCTCTCTCTTCAGCGTATGAGTTCGGATCGTAATGTACGAACGCGGAATCTTTGGGGCTCCGACTCGAAGACCCGGTTACGTAAAACGGGTCAGGAATGAGAGGAGTGTCAGGGCTGCTGAGTGCAAGTGACGTAAAATCAAGGATGCTGGGGGAGAGTTTTCCGGGTAACCCGGATTGGACCGGGTTGATCTTGAGATGCTTCATCGAGTTGCGGCGTTCGTTGAGTCGGAAAGATTGCTTCTTGGTGGAGACGGCTTTGATCGGAGGGATTGAGTGATAGGAAGATCTCGGGTCGGGTTTGTGGGTCGGGTAGTGAAAGTTGGAGGATCCGGTGAGCATCTGGACGACTTGCTTGAAAGAGGAAGCGTCGGTTTGGACGAAAGTGGTCTGAACTTGGTTGGTGGATTCGGATCTGGTGGTAACGGGTCGGGTCAGAATAGTGGTGGTGGTGCTGCGTATAATGCAGCTAGTTGGTGAAGGAAGCAAGTTGTTTGCGTCGTCTCTGTGTCTCGGCGAATTCTTCATCGAAGTACGACGCAGCATTGTGAAAGATGTTTCGTGTTTGTACTAATTGAAGGGTTATATTTATAGTTTTAAAAACATTTGAAACATTGATTGAAAATGGCTATTTTTTTTTCTGAATGTATTTTTGACATTATATATAGACATTTTGTTAATATTTTTTGCATTAAATCATAATTTAGAACTCCAAACCAATATTCTTTAGATTTGGCGAGATTGTTTCTTTTTACGCGTATTTTCTAGATTTTATATTATCGTTTTAGGTTGTTCGGTAATGTTGTTATTTATCAGTATATTGATCGGTTCTTTCTTTGTTAGTTTTTCAAATTTCTTCGGACTTAAGTTAAGTATCGTTATTTGATAATCTTGTTATTTCTCATTATATTGATCGATTTCTTTCTTTAGAATTTCTTCACTCGTAAGTTAATTATTATTTTAGTGTAGTTTGTTCGGTACTCGTTGTTATTTATCAATATATTGATCGATTTCTTTCTTTACTAGTTTTAAAAAAATTCTCAATCTTAAGTTATATTTCTTGAATATGTCGGTTTTGTGTTCTACAACCGTCTTTCATTCACTTCTAATTTATAAATTGCTATGTATTTTATTAATGGAATTCAGACTAACAAAATTCAAAAACAATAGATCTCACACTTATATACTACCAAAATAAGCTGTTGTTTTTTTTTTTGGATTTTTTTCTTGGTGCAAATGTGATACTACCAAAATAAGTTTCCTTTGAATTACAGTTAATTTACTGTCACGGGCGGTATGTTGAGAGTGATGTGCTCGGTGCCGTCAAAACTAGAAAATCGGTAGCGTTGATTGGTGAAATCAGTGTATGTATCAATTTATCATCTATGTTTGGTGTGTACTGTGTAGTGTGGATGGACCTGTTGACCTTTTTGAAGAGCATTTTCCATTCTCGTGAGGATTATTAGATTTTACGATAATTGCTGGCTATATTCCAAAACTGTATATATTATATCCCCAGCTCATTTACCTTTTCAACAAAATGAATCTAGCGATAGATGTGATAGATGATTGTGATTAGTGAGTGATTAGTAGTCAACGCATTAAATACACAAAATCTTGTCTAAGCAAGTGAATCTTGGTCTGTGGATAAAATTGCAGATATTCTGTCAAACTTCCCATATTTATTTTGACTAACAGATGACAGAGGTTATTTACCTATTAATGTAAAAAAGTTATTTACAGTAAGGCCGAGTCATAAGATTGGGCTTTAACTTTCTGAAATGGGCTTATGGGCTTACGTTTATCGAACTAGGCTTGTGCGAATTTTAAGATTGTGCTAAACCATGTTTGTTTGTAATTGCTGGTGACTGAAAGTGAATAGATGAATAGATGAACCCTAGATTTCTATTTCCCTAAATTTCAGTCGCTGTTATGAGATTAACAAGAGGTGGTTTTCGAGAGGACTATTCCAACATGGTGAAGATGGTGTCTAATTAGAGGAGTGGCATACATTCTCGATTCTTCTTGATGGTGTATAATCTAATCACATACCAAGGACGCAAAACACAAAAATAAACAAGGTAGCACAGTGTGCACAAAATCTCCTTTCATGATGTGTATTATGTAAACTCAATCCCACCAACCTAGATTCTTGTATTGATGTAGGTATAGATGTTGACAAATACAAAAACAAAAATATCGCCGTGAAACGACTCTGACGCTAATCTGAGTTTATGAAATGCTAAAATTTTAATCTCAGACCAGTATTAATCGAAAACTTATATAACTCTTATGTTTTTTTTTTTGGTGAAAATGTTATATATAACTCTTAATGTTACAAGGAGTATATAAAACATTCGAAAGAAAATACTGATATTCAAACAACTCACAAGTAACTCTTTAAGAATTGCTTTCCTACATTCGAATCAATCATTAGCCTAGAACCACCATACAATGATGACCATTAAACATCAAACCTTAACAGATAAACATTTCATAATGTGAAACTTTCCATCAAGCACAAGATCACACCAAGCAACTCTTCCCCAAATCTCTCCTTCTTCACGCCTCTCCACCACAACCTCCGCACACCAAATCTCTGTCGTCTCAGTCAATGCTACTTCTTTATGCAAAAACACAAGCAAATTTCCACCATAATTCACTGCGTATGACCATGAACCATCCTCAAACATTCCTAACTCCACACCCTTGACCACTCCCCAAACCCTCTCCTTAGGATCATACGTTCTTATACAATTCACACGAGCATCATAGTAATACAAAACATTATCTATAACGCATGCATTTGACCACTCCTTAGAATCCAAAACCCTATCCTCCTCCCATGTACCTTCCTTTGGTTCAAAGACATAGCTATTCTTATTACCTCTCATGTGAATCTTACCGGACATATTCACACTACTAAACCACCTCTGCCTCACTTCCCAGTCCGGTCTCTGCCAAACCTCCCACGTTTGTGCTTCAAGATCAAACGCCATAATCAATCCAGACGATGATTTCATCTCACTGGAACCAGAATCCGACCCTCCAATCACATATATCTTCCCATCTACAAGCTCACAGACCGAACCAGCGACAGCCTTTGGCATTGGAAAGAGAGGTTGCACAGTGTGACTCCAACAATCGATGCGAAACACACCCGGTGAGATCAAACCCCAACGAAAAAACCCACCCATGACAAGTATACTCCGGCCTACGACCACGTAACTTCCATGTAAAGCCATAGGAGGGAGTGAAGGGATACGGACTAACCAAAACTTGTTGTTCGGTTTACGGCTGAGAGTGTACCAGTTGATACTTGAGGTTTGGTTTTCAGAGATGGCAACATAGAGACAGTGATCGTCGCGGCTTGGGAGAGATCGTCGTCTCGCGTATAGCTCAGGGGATGTAACAAGAGATCTGAAATGGTTAGAGACGAGGGAGAGGATGGAATAGTAGGATCTTGGTGCACGTGCTACGCACTCCGTGATGATTTCTTGTGGAAGTGACGGCAACGGTGATGGCTGATTCTCTTCATCAGCCGAATCTTCGGTGGACATCTCTCATATATCGAGAAGGAACACACAGAGTCTCACAAGTTTGGCAAAGAGAAACGGTATAGAATTGATGAATATATCTATGAACTATTAAAATTCCATGAGATCTTAAAATATATATAAAGATATACGTTTCAGAAGTCAAGTAACTTTTTGTCACCAACCCCTTAAATTTACAGTTAATATGTTTACTTATGGTGTATTTTTGACCAAGATTTTTGTTTTTTTTATTCAAGAGACAATTATTACAAAAGTACAAATATGACGGTTAGTAAGTCTATATATAGAAAATGTCATTAATTGGTTTTGTAGGAAAGAATCCAAATGTATTTCATAATTAAGAAAGAAAATTATTGTATTCAAATTTCTCAGATACTTTTCTTTATATATCCCTTCTGTATTAATGGAGAAGAATGGAAACAAAATTTAGAAAAGTAACTCCTATGTTGACTCAATGTATTTACCAAAATTACCCTTAAAATTCTATTGTTTAGCAGAGTCTGAACCAAGCCTAATCTTGAACAATTTTTGATCATTCGTTTGAGAGAGAGAGAGAGAGAGAGAGAGAGAGAGAGAGAGATCGAGATCGAGATCGAGGTTAATACATAAACGTTACCGTTTTTATTCAAAGAAAAATCATTAGAAAGGCACTAACACAAAAGCCCCATGTAAAAGAAACCCAAGCTGATGATACATTTCAACACAAACATTAAACTGTGTTTAATCCGGCATAGTCAATGTTTCACTAGCTATTATTAAAAACCATCTCATTTGGGGCAGACAGGCTCCAATGCGAATGGACCAACATTGAAAAGACTGTAGAGCTTGTTGATGATGACCATGGAACTTCCTGGCTTCACGACCGGCGTTAGAAGAGAGCCCATGTTTCCACCGGGGAGCTTCGACACTTTGCTGCACTTGGCGTCCGGCGACTTCACGACGAGAGCTCGGCAACCTTTGATGATGTAGTTGGTCACCGTCTTAGGGGCGAAGAGCAAGAAGTATCCGTTCTTGTCCGTCTTTGTCTCCGATATCACCTTGTTCTTGCACACAAGTCTCACCACCGCATCTGCATCCCCAGCAACACACACAAAAAACGAAAATTAATTAGTATTTGTATTGATTTGTTATTAGGGAAAAAATGCAACTGCTCGTGTTAACCAAAAATCTACTAAACAATATGAAGACATCCCATATTTGGAAACATTTGCCAATGAGAATATATATATACACTAAAACGTATAAGATAAAGTGTGGACCTTTGACATAAATACATAATGTATATTGATATATACCACAGTCCACAGGTTATAATAAGGATTTGAAGAATAAAATATGAACTTTTCATATCATTAGTGTATATATAATACCTTTAATGGGTGTGGCGCCGTGGAGGTTGTTAACGCCGGCGTACTTGCAGGCTTTGCAGAAGACCAGACCCCGCACGGCCACTAGAGTCTTGTTGAACTTAGGAGGGTAAACCGGTGGGAGAGTTGGTAGCTTGATCGGAGCTTTAGCCGGTGGGAGAGTTGGTAGCTTGATCGGAGCTTTGGCCGGTGGGAGAGTTGGTAGTTTGATGGGAGCTTTGGTCGGTGGAAGAGTTGGTAGTTTGATCGGGGGGAGAGCTGTAGTGAAACTGAGAGCAGAGGAAGTGAAGCAGAAAAGTGCTACGAGAGTTAACAAAACACTCTTACCAATAAATCCCATCTTTGTTCTTTTCTTCTTTTGTTTGTGTGTGTGAGTGAGTGAGTTTATTAGGTTTGATCTGAGATGGTGTATTTATAGGAGATTTGAGGCTTCAAGATAATTTTTTTTTTATAATTAGGGGCCAGGGGCCAGGGGCCAGGAGCGGTTTATGCGTATATAGATAACACAGTAGCACATGCATGTCTTGAGATGTAGTCGAGAAGTTTCCGTTAAAGATTTTAGATTTAGATCTCCTATCAGGTTTCGATAGTTTAAGCAAGAACCTGAGATTTGTAGAAAAAAATTATTAGACTAAATTTGTATGAGAGATGATTTTTTTTTTGGTGGGTAATTTGTATGAGAGATGATTACTATGTAATATGTGTAATGATATTCTCACAGGTTGATGTAATGTATGTTGTGATCTCTTATGGTCTGTAAAAATTATGAGAGTTGGTTAATGGATATAGTTTTAGCGTTTTACAAAATCTATTAGACTAAAATCAATAAAAATATTTGATGTATATTCTGCGTGAACTAATTAAATAAACTTCTTGACTGGCTAAATTAGTTTTACTTTCAAGTTTCGATGCATGAGTTTTCATTCACGTTCCATGTTTTATGGTCCGTAACATGTGCATGTCAACAAGATGCGCCTCGTGCGGAAGAACACATTATACAATTTGGTATTCCAATTTAACAGTGCAATGCATGCAACATAAGAGTTTAATAAAACTAGCTTAACGAAAAGAGAAAAAAACTAGCTTAACGATTCCTATATAATTTTTCTAATTAGTTATTCTTAAATCAGGAAAAGGTTAAAGAAAATTGATGCTATTTAGTGAAAAATTCTTGGTCTAGTGGTAATATTCATCGCTGTAACTGTAAATGTAATTTTGTTAACAAAATTTAAATTAAAATAGTGACAGTGCGGTGATCAGCTACAACGGCATCGTATAGTGACAGTGCGGTGTTCAGCTACAACGGCATCGTATAGTGACAGTGAATAGTGATCCGCTACAACGGCATCGTATAGTGACAGTGATCCGCTACAACGGCACCGTATAGTGACAGTGCGGTGATCAGCTACAACGGCATCGTCTATATACGATGTGGAGAGCAAGCAATCACAAACGAAACTGAAATTCAAAATTCAAATCAAATTGAGAGAGCGAAATATCGCCCGCGCTACTAATTTCGTCTCATCGTCTCTCTCTCGCTCTATCGTCTTTCATCTGCAATGTCTACTACCAGAAGGAGCTCTAAGAGAGCACGTCCAGAGCCGCAATCGCTGAAGAAGCAATCACCGAAACCAAAACTCCAGGATGATTTGGATCTCGATATGTCTAGGTCCGTTTTCCTTTTCTTCTCCTTCTTCTTTGTTTCTTCTGATTGTGAGCTAAATTCTGACTCGCGGTTGATTTCCGTGTGGATCGTGCAGCGATATGAAAGGCCTCATGTCGGCGTTGCATCAAATCAGAGAGAAAGCGAACGAGGATGGCCGGAAGAAGAAGGAAGAAAGCATCTCCAGGTAAATATATCTCTTTCTCTCCGGTTAGTTTCATCTCAGGTTATGGAATCTAGAAGAATCTGAGTTCGATAATCTTCAATTTCACTTACGATGCGATTTTCTCCCAAGTTTTTGTCATCGAGAAAGTCATATCGATCTCCTCTGTTTGAAATAACTCTCCGATCATATGCATTTTCATCATTATTGGAGCAGATTTTGCTAATTACGATCGTTTTCTCTACTTGTTATCGCTGGTTGATGATATTATCTGGATCCTGTATCACAAACAAAATTTATCAACTAGATATTTCCAGATGATGCTAAGGTGTTCGATGATTTGTTTTAGCATTTGAAATCGATTGATTTGTGGTGTAAGTGGTTGTTGTATGCTCTTGTATCCCTTAAACTAGGATTCAATTGTTTAATTGATGGATAATAAGCTCGTTTTAATTTCACAGACTGAGAATGTTTAGATGTTCAGTCTTTTGTTCCTCAACTCTGAAGGATTTGGTTGATTTCTATCATTATTTTGGTATCTAGCAGTATGATTTTGTCATTTGTTGTTCCACAATGACAAAATTAACTAAGGATTCTGAGCATTCTTGCGTTTGATCGGCAGAACCATGGTTCTAATGCTCTCTTAGTGTAGTTGGTTTGATAGCTGAATCTTGCTTTTAATCATTTTGTATATTTTTGGCAGTGTGTCCACTGAGGTAAAGTCAAAGATCGACGAGTTGAAGTCTAAACTTGAGAAAGAAAGGTAAGGCTATGTTGCTGATAATAATCCATGTGAGATCTTTTGAATGTTGGAATATAAATGAAAGCATGCGCTGATGAATTCTGTTTTTGACTTACAAACTGCAGGCAGAGCTTTACCAGAGCACTTTCAAAGACTTCAAAGGAGGTTTGAACAAAGATCCCAAGATGATATTTAACTTTTCTCGAGTCATTTAGAAAAGTGCAAGGACCCTGAACTAATCCCATATTTGCAGTGTGAGAATATCTTGAAGGATGAAGCTGCCAAGTTTGAGGAGCTTCATCACAAATTCATGAAAGACAAAGCTGATCATCTACAGGGATTGAAAGGTACTCATTCTTTTATATTGCCCTTTCGTTTTTGTCACCTCTTACTTCTTTCATTAGCTAAGTGGGATATTCATGTTACTGAAGTGGACACGTGTTTCTGATTTGCAGACACTATTTCCAAGTTTGAGGAAGATAAGGAGAGGCTCTATATGCGTTATGAGCAACTAAGTAAGCCAACACCTTATAGTGTGAGACCCCTGTTATAAGATGACAACACTTACTCACTTCCACCAAATTTAAACATATAGGGAAGAAGGAGAAGACCATGATATCGGATCAGGAGAAGTTCTGCGCAGAAAAGCTTGCTCAATTGGAAGAGTCGCTGAAGAAAAAGAAACGGGTAAATATTATTAGCCTAAGACATATACAATACTCTCTCTTTTCTCTTGTTAAATGAGCTAACCGTGAATTCTCGGATGTTAGGGTGACAAAACTTTCAGCATATTGAGGAAAACTCTGGGCTCTTTTCTGGAGAACGAAGCCTCTGATGAAGACTTCCCACCTGATGAGTGAAAGATCAATGTCTCTCTCACTTGATGCTGAAAAAGGTTAAAAACCCCTTTTACTTTGATCAGCAATACGTTTCTAAGTGTTTTTCTCCCAGGTACATCGTTCAGGCATTACCATTTATATAGCATAATATACTCTTTTCTGAAGTAGTATTTCAAGACTTTTGAATATTATCGACATAAACTCTTGTTGTCGTCTTCTTAATATTCTATGATGTTATAGTTCCAAACTTTCAAACGAGTGATTTAATTAGTAATTACACTTTATCAACGTGTCTCTGCCTTTTACGAAGTTAGGTTTGAGTTGAGCCATAGAAACCGTACACGTGTTGGTGAAATTAATAGCAACAATTATTAATATCTGACCATTAACACGACTAGAAATATAATTTAGTACCACTGTCGTTCACATTTCTCCTCACTTGACAAGCAACACTAGCCATTTCCCATCAATTGATATGTTCACCATATGGCGGATCTTTAAGCCAAGCCATGGAGCTTCCAAACCACAGAAACTGCCTATCCACCGTCATTTCTTGCAACCTTCAGCGTTTCCATTCGATTGCTATGGCTGCTCTGAAACCAAGAAGGACGCAAAAGGGTACTATTGCCCTCACCCTCAGTGCGAGTTCTACGCCCACAAGGAATGCGCCGAGTCGCCTACCGAGATCAACCACCCTTCTCATTCGCACGCTCTCAAGCTCCGTTGCTGCGGACCACCTTCTTACAGTGACGGAAGTTGTCGGTTGTGCGGAGAGACGCTTCGTCTTTTGTTATATCATTGCTCCATCTGTAACTTCAGTCTAGACACGGCTTGCGCGAGGAAGCACGAGATTCCAAGCATTGACTACCCGAAAGCTCATGAGCATAGGCTTCACCTCTTGGCCAAACGTGTCTCCTTCCCTTGTCCTTGTGATAAAGACGTCCGTGGAGCTCCTTACTTGTGTCACCAATGCAACTTCATGATCCACAGAGACTGCGTTTACTTGCCGCGTGTGATACACCTCACACGCCACAACCACCGTATCTCTCGAAGCTACTTCATCGGCCCTGGGAAGTTCGTTTGTGGAGTCTGTCGTCTTGAGTTGAATTGGAGGTATGGAGGATATCGCTGCTCTGTTTGCCCTGATTATGTCATCCATCTTAGATGTGCAACAAGAGATGATGTGTGGGATGGAATAGAACTCGAAGGGAAGCCCGAAGAAGACGAAGTTGTAGAAGAGCCGTTCCAAGTGGTGGTGGAACAAGGTAAAGTGATCAAGCATTTCAGTCATGAAGATCATCATCTCAAACTCAACGAAGGTGGTGTTGTTTGCCATGAATCTATCCGATGCAGTGCTTGCGCTCTACCGGTCTACTTGGATGCATATTACAAATGTTCGTCTTGCGCTTTTGCTCTTCACGAGGCCTGCGCTAATCTTCCCCGGAAGTTGAGGCATGAGCTACACAAGCACACACTCACTCTCCGACCGAACACTAGCCCGGACGATGAGAATGGTTACAACTTTTTCAACTGTACAGTTTGTAAGCGGCTCTGCAGTGGTTTCAAGTACGTTTGTGGGAGTTGCGACGTGGAGATAGATGTACGTTGTTGTTCAACTCGAGAGCCGTTTATCCACGAAAGCCATCGACGACACCAACTGTTCCTTACTTCCTCAGAAGCTAAACTATGTGGCGCTTGTAACGAGAGTGCATCAACTGTATTGAACTGCGTCGACTGTGACTTTGCCTTGGGCTTCGACTGCGCAACTTTGCCTAACAAGGTAAAGCACAAATGCGACACGCATTTTCTCTCTGTCTGCTTTGGAGAAGAGACGAGTGGGCAATACTGGTGCGAGGTGTGCGAGAGAAAAGTCGACCCGAGCAAAAGATTCTACACATGTGAAGATTGCAGCTCCACTCTTCACATCAACTGCGTCATTGGCGAATTCACGTTCTGGAGACCAGGTTTCATGTCCGTGTCACGTTACGAAGCCACAGTGCTTCCCAATGTCTTTGCGTCTCGGCCACGTTGCCACATGTGTTTGCGCCGCTGCGAGGACACGTCCGGTGTCGTTTACGTCGCGGACAAGTATCTCTGTTCCTCTAAATGTTTAGAGAAGTTTATCAGATTCAGCATTACACTTTCCAAGTCGCCGACTCTGGAGATGCCACTTTTTGGGGAACTTTTCCGATCTGAACCAGAGCCATATTTAGATCATTAGCCATCTCTGTAATAAGATCCCTTTTTCAACTCTTGTGAGTTCTTCAAAATCAACATACATTTCTCTCATGAAATTACATCATCATTCATACCTCTTGGGTCTTGATTTTACAAGATGAAAATGTTAAAAAAGGGAAGAAGATGAGAGTTTTGTTTACTTCCAGAGCTCTTCCATGGGGATCCCACGATCAAGAGCAACATCACGGAACTGTCTCATCTGCAGCACTGCTGCAAGAGTGGCTCTTGCGTTGTTGAGAGCATTGTTGCTTCCCAGCTGCTTCCCCAATGCGTTCTCTACTCCTGCCATCTCCAGCACGATCCTAACCGCTCCTCCAGCGATCACACCGGTTCCTGGTGAAGCCGGTCTAAGCATCACCTTGGCTGCTCCGTAATCACCCTCTGCCCTATTAACCAACCAAAACCCACATCTTAGCTCATAGCTAAGCCTATTGAGACTATTTCTATCAAACAAAACCGATTCTTCACTACACAAAACATCAAAATCAAAACTTTTTTATTTACCTGTGTGGGAAAGTAAGATACTTAGTCATGGGGACTTGAACAATGTTTCGCCTAGCATCAATGGCGGATTTCTGAACAGCAGAGACGACTTCCTTAGCCTTGGCACAACCAACACCGACGTTTCCTTGCTTGTCTCCAACAACAACAATGGCTCTGAATTTCAATTGCTTGCCTCCTTTCACAACTTTAGTCACTCTCCTGACTTGCACAACTCTCTCTTCAAACCCATCGCGAATCTTATCCTTCTTCGGCTTAGAACCGCCGATACCTCCTCCTCCCTTCTTAATCTTCGAGTCCATCACGTTTACGTCTTTCCCGAGCAAACTCTCTCCGCTGTACGCCGGACCGTAGAGCTCCTCGAACGCCGTCGCGATCTCGGCCTCTGTCTCGTCTGCTCCTTCGTCGAAATACGGCGGAGCGACGAATCCCTCTGGAGGAGACGGTGGGTCGAAGACGGCATTGGCGGTTATCTCTGGGTTCTCGTCCTCGAAGAAGAATGTCTCGATTTGGTCTGAGGAGGAGGCCTTGAGGAGAGTGAGAGGTGACGAGCGTTTGAGGAAGGAGAAGGAGACAATGGGTTTGGAGGAGATGATAAGAGAGGTTCGGTTGTGGAGGGAGAGAGAAGAGAGAGAAGAAAGAGCTGATGCTGTAGCCATTTGGAGCTGGGATTTCGGATGAGGAAAGTGAGAGAATCGGAGAAAAGGCTTATCCAGCAGCAGATTGATGAAGATGGTGAAGGGGTTAAAGTTATAATTACTTCTTCTGCATGTTTACAAATTGGCCCCAATATATTCCATATTACCATTTTAACCCTTAAATGATTCCATATTGCCGTTTTAACCCTTAAATTTCATTTAAAATCGCACTAGTGTCATGCAGACTCTTTTGTTGTTTGAAATGGGCCATATGAGGAGAAAGCCCTTTGTTTACTTTTCTTTAGGGCCCAATAAGGTTTCTTCAAACCGGAATATGATCTCTAAAATCAAACATTTAAATTCAAGATGATTTATCACTAGATAAGGTTACGGATACATCTAAGATCACTAAACAAAACTTCAATAACCATATTAAGTTTAACACTATACCTTGTCGTTGTAATCATTAAATTATACATAGTGATTAACAAAATTTAGCATAAACAGGAATTTCTATAACTTTAGAGCATAGTTGGACAATGATGAGTTGGAGAAGGCCATTGCATTGATTTTTATACAAAGTGTATATGCTTTGCAACATAAAAAGGTGACCAAATATAAATGAGTGTAGTACAAACGGTCCCACTCAAAATTCAGAATTAACGTTGCTCGTTGCTGTCACGTGGGTAAGTTAAGGTTCCTCTGCCACTTCTCTTCTCTATTGTCCATTCCAAAGTTGGTTTTTAGGAAAAGAAAAAAAGAAGCACAGAATCTTTCAAACTTCAAACATATTGCAAACGTGATTTATTCATAATTCTGTTACATTGTTCAATTTTGTATGAACTGAACGTAGTTATTGGTCTTACATAACTTGGATTTTATGCATTTCCCTTGTCAGCAACTAACTTGTAAACATAACAAAAAGAAACTCGTGGAAGTCTTGATTAGAATATTTAATATATCTCTGATCATCTAATCATAAAAGAAGTTTAGCTAGTTCTGTCTCGACGTTTAGCTAATAGCAACACATATTACCGAAATATTATAAAGTTTGTATATACTAATCCTTGGTATGACAGTCGAATTGAATAGTTTGTATTAATGAGGAAAGAATACGAAAAAGAAGAGACCATTTTTTTCTACAGGAGAATGAGATGCTGAACAAAAGATGCAATTAAAATTGACAGGCAGTACAATAATGTGAACTAGTGTGTTGACAGCTGACGAGTCTATTGCCCAATTTTGACGTTAATATTTCCGACCATTTTTTTTTGCTTATATACGATAATATTTCAACCTAATATACTCATCAAGAAATTTCAATTTTTCTTCTTATCATCCATTATAAGAGTTTTTCTTTTCATTAATTGATAGGCTCCACATGCAAAATGTTATTTCATAAGTATTTCCGTTTTCTTTATCTTCATATCTAGACTTCTTTGTATGATGAGTTGGAATATGTGGACATAAGGTTATGTCATGTGAAATAATTTGAGACTTTATTTTATGCCCAGGATATTTAGTCTAAGGGCTTGATTGTTGTGTATAGGGATTAATGGCGTGTTAGAAAGATCATTAAACATGCATCAGAAAATGTTAGTATCGACATCTGTTGATCTTAGTGTATCTGCATGCTTCTAAGGCGTGAATTAGGTTTACCAACGTACCAAGTAAGAGATGACATCATCGAATCTCACCAAGTAGATATACCATGCGACGATAACATCCGAGCTAAGGTATAATTTTATAAATCCCTTTGATAGACATCACATTAGTCATCAGTGTTCAAGTCACTTACTTTCCAATATTGGCCGATGGTTCTTCAACTCATTGATGTACACAAACAGAATCATTCAAAAACGATACATTTGTGTGTTTAAACTTCACGACTGTTTTTTTTTTCTTTTTCTTTTTAAGGATCATTGTGCTGCTGTTTTTACTAATCAAACATGCTAACATGTCTTCATTTTACATATTACCAATTGTAAAATGGAAACATTAAAGATTGGACCATTCATGTATCTGTACTTCTGCCTTCGTGGCCCCCGATCGAAGGCTAACTTGATCGACCTTATCATCTACACCAAATAAGAAATAAATTGTAAAATCTAATTTAGTGGTGGCCCTAGCTATGCTATACAATCGAAAGAATTCTTGATAACCACTAACCAAAGACTATTCATACGACATATTTATGCGCAGTTGACATATTACTCAGCAATAATAACTGTTCTACAAATCAACTGGTGAAGTAATCCCCATGATTGATCATTTCAAAATGCATTGTAACCCGAGTGATATTTTCAAATATTTACAACTCATTCAAATTATGTTATTCTTTTTCAACAGAGAAACATCAAATAATAAAGTTAATAATTCCTAAAAAAGCAATGATCTATGTGTGTAGTCTGTTTCTAGTTCGAATCTCAACTTCTTGTCACCACAGAGAATACATTTCACATTAGCGCATATTCTCTACATGTATTTCCGTACAAGTATATATACTACTGATCTATATATCCTTAAATCCAAATTATGATGATTAAGATTAATGAAATTTGTTGGCATAGATACATTCACAGTTTTATAAATTGAGACTTGAAAGTATAAGAAAAACAAAAAAAAAAAAAAAAAAAAAACTCGCATAAATCGCTTTGTCGACGAAATGTTAACCCATTTTTTTCAATTTTCTCTCTAGCTAGGTTTTCTTTCAATACATAGGAGGATGTATCAATATACAAAAAAAAATCTTGATCGTATTTTATTTTTTACACAACATGCTACCATACGACATAAAGAAAAAAAGAGTGAAATTTTGTGGTCCAACAACTTAAGCACCTAAGATCCTCCCCCACTTTTGTTTTTGGGGGGTCCTTTATACTTCTCTGCCAATGCTTACTTTTACTTCCTCTTCTTCTTCTCCTCTTGTTCCATCTTTCATGTGAGAGAGAGAGAGTTGAATTTTGCAGATGAGTATGAGAAGAAACAAAGCGGAAGGGAAGAGGAGTTTAAGAGAAATGAGTGAGGAAGAGGAAGAAGAGGAAGAAGAAGATGAGGACACTTTTGAAGAAGAAGAAGAAGAGACTTTGGAGAAGAAGCAGAAAGGTGAAGCTACAAGTAGCAACACCGGTAGTAGTGGAGTTTGTCAGATCGAGAGTTGTACTGCTGATATGAGCAGAGCAAAACACTACCACAAACGACACAAAGTCTGCGAGTTTCACGCCAAAGCTCCTCTCGTTCGGATCTCTGGCCGTCACCACCGTTTCTGCCAACAATGCAGCCGGTAACATTTCTGTCATCAACTAACCAACACAACCAAAAATACAAGAACAAAGAAAGACTGAGACTTTTTGTTTTAACTTTGGTCTTTTAAGGTTCCACGACCTCGGTGAGTTTGATGAAGCCAAGCGGAGTTGCAGGAGACGTTTAGCTGGACACAACGAGAGAAGACGGAAGAACACGAATGAATAAAGCTCGGGATGTGTGTGGTCTAAAATCCCGATTTGAAGGTTAATGTAATAAGCTTTGCTTGCTCTCTTCTGTCAGTCTCTTTCAGCTCCTTGTAATCCTCTCTGTGTGTGTGTGTCTCTCTCTTTGTTTCTCCATTATTGCCTGCAATCAAAGCTATGTGCTAAAACCTAAGACATTATTAAATGCATTGAGACTAAATAAATGCTTCAAGGATTGTGTAAGAGCAATGTTTATAGTCAAGATCTTAAGATAATAATGAGGAGACACAGCTAAAAAGATAATAATTCTTGAGATCTGTAGTTCTGTTACAAGAAAAGAAAATGCAAGCTCCTAGTGGTTCTGAGATCTGAAAATGAGACAAAATAAATTATAATGGAAGACTAATCTTAGTCTAGTCACGTTTGATTCCCAAGATTTTCATTGAAAACTCCCAAGCAACGATTGCAGCTGCATTAGCAGGGAATGCTCTAACGATGGTTGGACCCAAACCTGCATAACATCCCTTGATTCCAGCTCTCTTGTGAATCTGCAGAGATGATTTACAAAAGTCAAAAAAACACTATCTCATATAAGATTTCACAGAGGCAAGGCAAAAAATTCAAGATGCTTGACTGACCAAGCTCAACACTTTCAAAGGATTTCTCTCAGTAGCTTTGTCTGGAGAGGTCTGGATAATGGTTTTCGCTACATCAAGAGGCAAAATAGCTGACCAGCACTGTATCATAGAAACAGTAGTAATACTCAGTATGCTCCATAATCATAATGACGGAATCTAAGAAACGAAACTAGAATGATTCTTCTTACAGCTATGCCTCCAAGACCACCAGTGAGAACTCCTATCCCCATGTCGACCAAGTAACCACCTTTCAGCTTAGAATCCTCCAGCTTCGAGTGGATGTGATACCGTAAGTACTCGTAGACAGTGAAAAAGACAGCATTTCCAACGCATTCTCTTAACAATGTCGCTGAACCACCGCGAAAAATACCTGTTACCTGAAAGATATCCCCATCAAAACCTAATGTTTGATTCTAAAGAGAATGTTTTCGCAAAGAAGAGTTTCTCACCCCTTCCTTTTTAATAGTCTGAACGGCACAGTCAAGAGGACTGTTGTATCTGCGGATGTTAGGAACCAAAGAATCCGTGCCTTGGATCTGCATTCTACACTGAAGAAAACAGTGAATGTCTCAAAACTCCATGGAAACCATTGAAGGTTTTAGGGAGAAGAAATGGTATTCTGGAGATTTCACCTTCACTAGCTCTGTTGGACATAATACAAAACTAATAATGGCTCCTCCAAACACAGCAGATGGAACAATAATTTCTGGTCGTGGCCCATCATCTGGTGAAGTTCCCTTTACCACAAGAACCAAAACGAAATCAACAAAATTTGAAATCAGGAAGAAACAAATATAGTGAAAGGTCATTTTGGCCTGCAATGTTACCCGCAAGAACAGCTTTGCCTGGGAGTATATGCCGAACATTAACGAACTTTCAAAGGCCATTCCCAAAAACGACGATGTTGCTCCACTATAAAGCCCTTTCACCTAAATATGATCTCAAAATCAGCAAAAAGACTTGTATCCGACCACTAAGGTGTTGGTGGGTCTAGTAAGTTTCAATTGACATTGTAAAAATCCAAACTTGAAGGAGCTAAATTTGTCTGCAAACGACATAACAAGATTGCAGGGAAATTTACCCCTTCAGTTTGCAGGATCCTTGAAGCACAATGGAGTCCATTTTTGTATCTGAGCCCTTGCACATCTGTATTATGTTTCTGAAGTTTCACCTGATAGAAGAAACAAGAGCCAAAACCCACCAAAGAATCAATAACCTTCTCAAGGGATATATATATATATATATAAAACATGAGTGGTGCCAAAAAGTAATCAAGAAATGATTTTTATGCCTAGGCAGCGCAGAAGCAACAGACCCAAATAAGTCCGGGAGGCATCAGAAGAACCCTCATTGTCATTGAATGATTTGTTATCTTCTTTGCTTAACCGCTAAACTAAAACTAAGTAGAGCAGCAGAGAGAGATGTTAAGATTCCCAGGTAACAATTAACACATAAGTGATATCTACATCGATCAATGCTCTAGTGAGTGTAGAACACTTTCTCACACCAATGCATCAGTAATTAGAGCAAACATTCAGCAGCTGGATTTGGAAATCGTGTAGGAAGCATAATCCTTTGAATTGAAATATGAAACATGTATATACCCATTTGGTATAAACCAGGTAAAAACACAAATGTGAAGAAGAAAGGTCGAAATTGGGATTGGGAATTGAGATACCTTGACGGTGTCGAAAGGGTGGCCAACGGCGACGGTGGCGAGACCAGCCATCATTCCGGCGACATATTCCTTGTAACCCCCTAAACCCTCTCCCATCGTGATCCTCCTCTTCCTCGTTTTCTTTCTTTTTGGGAAGATTCAAGATTGTAGTGTAAATTCAAAGTTTTATATTTGGTTTGAAAAAATGATTTCCAGAAATAAATTTCGAGCATTTGCGGTCCATACACAAAACTAACAGTTAAAATGATAATTTTGTGTCCGATCACAACATAGTAACCCAAATAAACATTCCCGAGTCAAGCCCATTTTAGCACACATTTTGAGAATTGAGATAAACTGAAGTAGGAGAGTACTTTGTAAGCAATTAACTTATTTTGATTGTTACAGAAATTCAGAATTGATGATCAAGATCTAACATTTTGTTTAACATTTTTATTTTGTAAGCAATTCCCGACACACCGTTCATGTATCACACAACTCACAATTGGATTGGCAAACAGAAAATCACCTTCAATTGGATCTAGTGGGCCTTAGTTATAAATTTATAACTAGATCCATGGGCTTGTATTAAACTTTGATTAAATCACTATCATAATTGCTTGTTGACACCAAGAAATTCATCTAACCATGATTAAAGTCTTTTGTTATACAATGGAGTTTAAAACATCAACCACAGTCATGTCAAATTCCATTATGCTAGGCCATAGTTGAGTTATATTCCATCGTTATCTAAATGAATCATTGGAAGCTAAAAGTTAAACAAAAAATATAACAATTATTATTACCGAACACTATAAACATTACAAGAGACATGAGGACGCATCGTCACCGTTAAAACCGTCCAAGACAGAGTTGATCAAACGGTCACTATCAAACAAGAAAGAGAAGAAAAAAAAGTTGCGAATACAGCCAAAAGAGTAAACAGACACGTGGCGATCAGAAGACATGAACTTCTTGCATCACCTCACCGGCATGTCACTACACCCTCTCGGTTTAACGGTGGTGCTTGCTCCTGGTATCGTCGCTGTAAAGCCTGCGGATCACAACGGTCATAACATATCAGGTCTGAGTCTGATCTCAACCGTCCGATGAGAAAGTTTCTGATCGATGACTAATAATATAAAAAAAGTAAGTAAGTACCAGTCATAGACGGTGGGAGAGTTTGGGTGAGAAGGCTTGTCAAAGAGGTTAGTGCCCATTCCTCTGGTGGCTATGTTGCTTCCTGGATGAAACACACTCCTCCACACGTTCTCCTTACGTGCTGATCCCGGCGTCGTGGGCGTCGTCGGAGTTCCTGGACTCCCCGCCGCCACCGGCCAAGTCTTGCTGCTGCTCCCTTCTCCTACACCTTTTCCAAGATCACGTAATTTATTTTATTAAGTTCATGTCTAAAAAGATACTATGGACCTGAAGTCCAGAATTTATCGGTTACTAACAAATATGTGTATTGTGTATAAGACTATAAGTGTATTATGTATACCTTTGATGTCAAGGGGTTGGGTTGTGATCTTATTGCGGAGGCGGCCAAGGCCATGCTCCGGCTTCGGTCCGGCGAAAGTTTCATCCCACATCTTGTTTTTCTTTTCTTTGCTTTTGTTTATCTATTTAGCAGTGACGGATAATATATCAAGTGTGAAGTACTTACTTACTCATGGCTGGCTTCATCTCATTTATAGACCCACAACTATTTATGAAAATATCTTCTTTTTTCACCCATAAAATATCTAGGGACGTAACAGTATATAAGATATAATTGGATAATTATCAAATGAAGTTTGAGTATTTGCACAAACTAGAATCTATCTTTAACATATATGTTTACATGTACATTACTTTTGGTAGTAGTTGTATGGTACACATCATGTATTCATAAGTTAGTTTTTTCCTCCACGTTACTTAATTTTGTATGTCGTTTTTCTATTTAACAAACTCAAGTTACCATATTGTTTGATAAAAATTACAGTAACAACACTAATAATATATCACCTAATTAAGGCAGTGAATTTTGTAACTTCTCACTTCTTATTATCCCTTTCCTATTTTTGCACAAGTTCTTCCAACTTGTGTGTTTCTCGGTTTCATTCATTTATCTACCTGACCACCTAACTAACCCAAATATCTATTTGGTATGTCTTACTACTTTCACACCATTTGTAACACAATAAAATTAGCCCAGTTTTGGTAGCGCATGCTTCTCTGTAAATTTGTTAGTTTGTTTGCATATTTTAGGATGCGAGTAGCCAAATTTAATGTATAGTAAATATGAAGTATACGACCTTAATTAATATTGTAAAATAAATAATCAGAGGAATGAGAGCAGTGAGGGAGGAGAGTGGCAATAATAAAATGAGATGTGGATAGAGATGAAGATAATGGATAAGAACGATGGAGTCATGAAATGGGACCCTTAAATCAAAGTATCCCAAGCTTTAGTGGAAAAGTATTATTGGAAAAACAGATGTGTTCAATACATTAAGTAACGTGTCTGCATCATTTTTACTCTCTTTCTTACTGCTAAAAAAGTCCTTACTGTTTTTAAGTCACCAATCAGATCATGATACCACTTTCATTTTTGTTGTAAAGCTGATTAATAATTGCTTTGGTTCCATGCCTACACAAAGAAATAGAGTCGAGATGATCAAGAAACATACCTCAACATTATTCCGTTTCTGTCTCTTTTCCCTTTCATCTGCTTCCAAATCAACCAACAAACACAAGAATAACTATAATATAGCCCTCTCTCTATCACATTTTATTTCTAGAAGATTACAATCAATGAAAAATCATTAAACTATATTTCTAACTGTGACAAAAGCTGTTTCTAAGCATTAGCCATAAAAACCAAGCTTTGAAGAGTTTTACAACGTTATACACAATTCCTCCACGAAGCTCCACTTCCAACCTTCATCCATTATTGGTAAAGGATAAGAATGGAGACCCCCAAAAAATTAGGTGCTAAAGTCCTAACTGAGGAAAACAAGGATGGCATAATTTACAAAGAACATCATCATAACTTGCGCTCATGCCACCAAATGCTAGTGGCATTTCATCTGATGATAACCTCAGGATTTACCATACCTGTCGACGTAACCCTGCAAATGAACAGAAGGAATTATCAGATTAATCCAATACTTTACCACCTGCTCAAGTGTCTAAGAAGAAACTAACCTCGACAAGCTTCACAATTTTTGGTGAAGACATGCTTAGATATTGCTCAACTGATACGGTGTCAGTCGGCACCTGATGGAACTGGACAGCGGCGCTGACTATCTTCTCAGCAGCTCTCTTCACTATCATGTTATGCACATCTTTAGTGAGACGACCTTCACGCCACAACGGTTTCAACATTTCTTTAATGGTTTCCACAACTGCGGTCCGGAATTGTCTCATCACTTTCGTTCCTGCATCTGACCTCACTTCACCATCTACCTCATCTGATTTCGGCATCATCTTTTGATGTGAAGATCCATCACTTCTACGCCAAGATTCATGCCCTGCAGGTTTGCTTCTTTTCAAAACAACTCTGGTCTCTGCAGCCGCCGAAGAAGAAATCTCTTTGCTTGGTGTTGTTGCATCATTCTGATCAACCACTGAAGTAGCCACGCCTTCCACTACTCCGTACGCATCCAACTTCTTCCTCGCCCCGGTTTCTTGATGTTGATTCTGACTGCATGAACTGTTTTTATCATCATTATTGCTACCTCGTGCTTGAGGACCACTAGAGGAATCGCCATCTTTCTGCAGGCGGGAAGCTTTCCGTGCATGTTTCCCTTTACTTGACAATGGAGCATTAAGAGATCTGTCTTCTGGACTCTCTATATCCTCGTATAGTGCATCAGACGAGGGAAGTATATAAGGTGGGATTGTGAAAGATGGTTTAAAAGGCTCAGAAGCTTCCCAATCATTTGAAGAAACCTTCTTCTGACTGCTAGTAGTGTTGTTGCCTTCTGCTGCATCTTCACCGGAAGAAGCAGGTGTCGCTTGCAGTGTTGCAAGTGATCCAGATCCATAGATACTAGTCCTGTTTTCAAAATGCCCCAAGTTAGAAGCATACTCATTCAAAGGAGCAGAAGTGAACACCGATCCTGTCCAGGCTGGTGCAGAAACTTTCTTCTTACTGCTAGTAGTGTTGCCTTCTGCGTCTTGATCGGAAGAAACAGGTATCGCTTGCAGCGTTGCACGTGATACAGACCCGTAGATATTAGTCCGGTTCTCAAAATGCCCCAAGTTAGAAGCATACTCGTTCATAGGAGCAGAAGTGAACCCTGATCCTGTCCAGGCTGGTGCAGAAGTGATAGAAGAAGGTCTAGGTTCGTGAGCAAAGCTACTTCTCGGTGCGAAGGGATTGCTGTTATTAACAAACAAAGACCTGCTCTCAGTGATATCACCACCACAGTTTTGCCTCAGAGACTCTCTTGCCACGTTCATGGGAAGGAAAACTCTTTGAAAAGCTGGGGGATTCACCAAATGTATATTATCTCTTGTTTGCAAAGAGGTCACGCCATTTTCTCTCAACAGAGAAACTCTTACACCTCCTTTGATCTCCAATGTTCTTCTTTCTGAAATGAACACAAGCAAAATAAATTATTTGTTGCTCCATGAAGAGCAAACATATCACAATCTTATGGTAATCACATACCTTCAACAGACGGGATAACACTGGTTCCAGCTAGATTATTCACATGAATAAACTTGCAAGAGTTGCCTTTGTTACACCACCCTTTAGCGAAAAACTTGCAAAGATGAGCTGCTCGTTTTTGCTCTGGTTCGTTCCCGGACGGAAAGCTTGTCGCCGTTGTACAAGGAGCTGGAAATCTGAGAAAACCGAGAATCTTCTGTCAGTTATATAAAAGCTTTCAAAGATGCAAAAATACACAAAGGTCAACTTCTGTCCACCACTATACACTAACCTCCTACTTTCATCTCCCAGCATAACAGTCTTCCCAGAAAGTTGTGATTTTTCGAAGCTGCTGCTTGAATCCTTCGTGATCTTTGATTGCTCATCTGAATGCTTCTTCAAAACTACAATCCCAAGACACAAAGATCATAATTTGAGCTAAACCCAGTTAATTTCATAATCCTTTCTCTGTTCTAGA